TGTAAGCCAGAGGAAAGCTGGGACACTGAGACATTCCATGCAGCAAAGTCAGTTACAACCAGGAAGCGTAGGATAGGTTACCACCATGGAGGAGGACCCCCACAGAGAGTAGATGAAGGAAGAGAGCTTACTAGAGAAGAACTAGAAATGAGGTGAACTGACTTTTGCCAAAGGACATAGAAAGATGCTTATTGGTTATTTAAAAATATGGGATTTAGGAGCAAATGCTACTATATGTTATTAGGACATGAAATAAGGCAAGAAAGTGCTATAACTGTACCACAGTTGCTTAATTCATGTTTAATGCAGATAACCACTCAGCATCCAAATAGAGAACTTTTCTTGTGGGTTTGGACAGCTAACGCTTGGGGGAAAACACGTCCCATTATAGAGCTAACTGCTTTAGGAGATTCTGCTATATGGGGCAGTAACCCAGGAAGCTGTATGAATAGCACACAAGATAGCAGTATTAGTTTTGATACATGAGGGCAACCCTGAAATAAAGAAACCTATGCACTAGCAGCAAATAATGGTATTAAAAAGGTTATATTAAGGGGAGTGCCACCACAGTTTAAAATGTCATATATGAACCTCCAGATCTCAAGCCAACACCATGGAGGATGTAATTGTAATGATATCTCTAGCCCCCCATTTGATGTTCTCACCACCATTTGATGTTTTTCCCACTTCTTCACCAACACTTGTTACTACCTTTTTTATTTTATAATAAAATAGCCATCTTGCTGAGTATCTCATTGTGGTTTTCATTTGCTGTTTATTATTGACTAGTGATATTGAGCATCTTTTCATGTACTTATTGACCATCTGTGTCTCTTCTTTGGAGAAACGCACCCCAAAAAATAATATATATATATTAGCTAGAGATCTACAAGGCACTAAAAGATTTTCTTTTTAAAAAAGATTAATTTTTATTTTATTTGAAAGATAGAGTCACGGAGAAGAGGGCAGGAAAGAGATTGTCCATTCACTGGTTTATTCCCAAATGGCTACAATGGCCAGAGCTGGGCCAGGCCAAAGCCAGGAGCGAAGAACTTCATCTGTGTCTCCCATGTGGATGCACAGGGCCAAGAACTTGGGCTCTGCTGCTTCCCCAAGCACGTTATTAAGGAGCTGCATTGGAAGTGGAGCAGCTGGGACTTGAACCAGCACCTCTATGAGATGCCAGCATTGCAGGCTGTGGCTTACCCAAGTATGCTACGATGGCAGCTCCAAGATTTGCTTTTCATGCTAGAAAATTACAACCTAAAAGCACCCCAGTGGCCAGATCTACTTTTACACCCAGAGCAAAGATGCAGAGGAATAGAGCTAGAAATACAGGCTTTAGACCTGGTTGGAGACAGAATATAAGAGCTATGGATATCAGTAATGTTAGGAAACTGGCATAGCTGGCCACATGGCCCAGCTACCTGAGCCAGGCTCCACCCTCATCCTAATGGGATTGGCTGCTCCTGCTTCCCTGCCCGCCCTCAAAGTTTTAAAAGGGCCTGTTCCTGAACACGTGCTCTCTCGGTCCTTCTCTCCTGCTCTCTCTCTCAGCTCTGCTCCCTGCTCTCTCTTGGCCCTTCTCTCCTGCTCTCTCTTGCCCCTTCTCTCCTGCTCTCTCTTGGTTCCTCTCTCCAGCCTCCTCCTCTGGTCTCTTGGCTCTTGGTTCTTCCCTTCTGCTCTCTGCTCTATCTTCTCTCCTTGCTAGTTCCTCTCCTCTCTGTTTCACTCTTACATTCTCTTTCTCTCTTTTTCCTTTGCCGCCCCTTCACTCCGGTCTGTAGGGTGTTCCCCAATAAACCCTTTCCCTTACTCCTGTGTCCAGTGTGCTTTGCGACGGCTAACATTAAGATATAACAAGTAAGAGAGGTGCCTTTCAGGGAAAATTACTGTAACAATAACTGATACATGCACCCAGTGTATAGGAGAAATAAATAAAAGCACAATGTTAGAAAGTGAACTCAAAATTTTTTCTTAAAAGCAAAAGAGGAGAAGTTCAAGAGACCTCTGGGAGAAACAAGTGTTAAATACTACATACAGGAAAACTCAGAGAACTCTTGTGTATAAAATATTAGATGTTGGCCAGCGCTGCAGCTCACTAGGCTAATCCTCCACCTGTGGCGCTGGCACCCCGGGTTCTAGTCCCGGTTGGGGTGCTGGATTCTGTCCCAGTTGCTCCTCTTCCAGTCCAGCTCTCTCTTGTGGCCCGGGAAGGCAGTGGAGGATGGCCCAAGTGCTTGGGCCCTGCACCTGCATGGGAGACCAGGAGGAAGCACCTGGCTCCCTGGCTTTGGATCGGTGCAGTGCCGTCCATAGCAGCCATTTGGGGGGTGAACCAATGGAAGGAAGACCTTTCTCTCCGTCTCTCTCTTTCTCACTGTCTAACTCTGCCTGTCAAAAAAAATATATCAGATGTCAGGCCATACATAAGATTCTATATGGAAAATGCACATCAAATATTAGAATTTTTAATAACAGGTCTCAAAGCAGCTTACTTAGGAAAATAGATAATAAGACATACAATGATAATATAAATAAAATAAATGTAGCAGGTCTAGGAGGAATAATAACACTAGCATATGAAACTAACATAAAATTTAAATGATAATAATGATCAAATACGATGTAAAGTGTTTAACCTCTGAGCAAGTAGAAAATATTCTGAGGATGGACTGGGCCACACTACTTGCTCCCTCCCCCTACCCAAACAGGCTTTTTTTTTAGATTTATTAATTTATTTGATAGGCACAGTTACAGAGACATAGAGGCAGAGAGAGAGAGGTCTTCCATCCACCGGTTTACTCCCCAAATGGCCACAACAGCCAGAACTGTAGCATTCTGAAGCCAGGAGCCAGGAGCTTCCTCCAATCTCCCACTCAGGTGCTGGGGCCCAAGGACTTGGGCCATCCTCTACTGCTTTCCCAGGCCATAGCAGAGAGCTGGATCAGAAGTGGAGCAGCTGGGACTGGAACTGGTGTCCATACGTGATGCCAAAACTGCAGATGGAGGCTTTACCTGCTATGCCACAGTGCCAGTTCCAAGGTATTTTTCCATTCACTGGTTCATTCCTCAAATGACCAGAACAGTCATGGCTGAGCCAGGGTGAAACCAGGAAGGAGGAATGACAACTGGGTCTGCCACATGAGTAACAGGGACCCAAGTTCTTGAGCCATCTTCTGCTGTCTTCCCAAGTACCTTAGTAGGGAGCTGGATCATTGGTGGTGTAGCTGGGATTCAAGTCTGCATCTCACTATGGGATGCTGGCATTGCAAGCAGCGGTTTCACCTGCTGTGCCACAATACCAGCCCCAATCTAAATCCCATCCTGTTAAGGGAGACTGGACCTGGCCAGCGAGGGAGGCTCAAGCATGGTGGCCAGGATTTGCCCACTCCTCCTGATGGGCCTGGGTCATCTTAGGCTCTTGCCTCAAAAGGTTCCTGAGTCCCAAACTGCAGTCAAAGAAAGAGGCCAGCAGGGGGAGCCCCAGGGCCAGCTGCCACCCTGCATGGGGCCCTGATGCTGGGCTATGGGCCAAGACCTCTTTGTAAGCGGGGGTGGCCAAGTGGGAGGAAGGAAGCCCCCCATGCTGGGTAGGGAAGCCTGAGGAGGGTGCCCTGGTCCTGCTTTTACTCAGGCCTGAAGCGTGGTTGCTGGACGGCCCTTTCACCGATTTTCCCAAGTCACTGCTTTGATTGGTATGTTGGTGAATCCACGTGAGAGGACACAGCTGCTGTGGGTTGAATGGGATTTGGCTCCTGAGCTCATGCAGATTTTTTTTGTTAAAGATTTATTTTATTTATTTGAAAGACAGAGTTACAGAGAGAGGTAGAGAAAGAGGTCTTCCATTTGCTGTTTCATTCCCCAGGGGCCACAATGGCCATAGCTGAGCTGATCAGAAGCCAGGAGCTTCTTCTGGGTCTCCCACACAGGTGCAGGGGCCCAAGGACTTGGGCCATCTTCCACTGCTTTCCCAGGCCATAGCAGAGAGCTGGATTGGAAGTGGAGCAGCTGGGACTTGCAGGCAACACTGGCCCCTCATTTAGTTTTTCTAACCCTAAGTCATAGACTTAGGGTACTGAGTGGGAGGAACTTCATTTAGTTATGGTGTTTAGGAAGTGCGCCTTGGGGTTGAAGACTGAACTCCTCCACCCCACATGCACCTCCCTGCTAATGCCCCTGGCAAATAGTGGCAAGATGGCCCAAGTGCTTAGACCCCTGCCACCTATGTGGGAGACTCAGTTGGAGTTCCAAGCACTTGGCTTCCACAGTGCCCCATCCTGGTGGTGAGAGGCTCTTTGGAGAGTCACCCAACAGACAGAAGATTCTCTCTCTTTCTCTCTCCATCACTCTGCATTTTGAAGAATATTAAAAAAAAATTAGGAAAAAAAAGAAAAAACACAACAACCAGAAGTGGCAGACCCTTAGGACACTGGGGAGCTCTCCTTGCAATGCTGTTCTTATGAGCGTGTTGGTTCTGGAGGTCTGAGTGGGGCCCAGCGGCTGTCCCTGCTTCCTGGCTGAATGCGGGCCCCTCTCTCTGCCCGTGCCTCATCCATCCTGTCCTCTGGCCTCAGCCGACAGCTGAATTGATGAAACTCATCCAGCCTTGAACGGGGAACATCCCAAGCCATGGACCCAAGCGAGCGTCCTTCTGTCCCGAGTGGCTGTGGCAGGTTCCTTGGCTAGTGCCAGGCTGATTCACACGGAAGGTAAAAGGCGGCACCCTAGGGAGTGCCCCACCCAAGTTGTATGCCTAGGCTGGCAGGGATGGTTCCTTAGATCCGGTCAACCACAAATCTCTCTCTCTTTTTCAAAAAGATTTGTCTTTAATTAAAAGGATGAATTACAGAGAGGCGGAGAGGCGGAGAGGCGGAGAGGGAGAGGGAGAGGGAGAGGGAGAGGGAGAGGGAGAGGGAGAGGGAGAGGGAGAGGGAGAGGGAGAGGGAGAGGGAGAGGGAGAGAGAGAGAAATATCTCCCAACCAGTAAGCAATCTGGGATTTGGTTTTCTTACTACAAAGATGAGGCTCTGGCTGCCCTGGTGGGAGATGAGGCTCTGCGAGGGAACTCTGTTTCCCCAGCGGGCGGAACCGCTCCTCATCAAGCCCAGCTCGGTCCCTCCAGGGTCTCCCCTAAACAGGACACCCTAGAATTCCCCCCACACACCCTCCACCCTCTAGGAAAATCCAGAAGCAGCAGGAAAACCTGAGGCCCCTACCCTCAGGGGGCAGAGTCATTCCCGTGCCCCACGGAGTGGCGAGCGGCTAAGGGCGCCCCTGGGCATCCAGCGCCCCCAGGGCAGCACCTGTCCCGCGCTGGCTGGGTTCAGGGACCACGAGGACTCAGCGCCAGCCTCAGTCCTGGGCGGTGCCAGTGCTAGTCTTGGCCCCGCCCCTCCAGCGCCGATTGGCCAGGCCGCGTCCTGGGGGCGGAGCGTTCGCGCCAACCCCCCACCCACTCCCCGGCTGGACCCGGGAACCCTCCTGAGGCAGCGCCGGCGGCTGAGGCGGCGGCGGCGGGGACAGCGGAGCCATGACCGGGAACAGCGGAGCCATGACCTCGGGGGTCCGCGCCGGCGGCTGGGGGCACGCGGGGCGCGCCGTGCAGGGACCGCCCCCGCCTCTGCCCTTCCTCTTTGTGGTGTTGGTGGCGGCGCCCGGCACTCGCGCCGCGGGATACCAGGTGAGGGAGACCGCGGGCAGGAGCGAGAGCCGGCCTGGGGAAGCCTGAGGAGGGTCCGCGGGTGTGGACGGGTCCGATCCGGGGTGCCTCGAGGGGCAGCGGGTCCCACACGGGATCCGAATGCGTGCGGGCTGCCATGGAGGAGGTCCCCGCCTCTCAGGGTCCCCGGGCCGCCAGCCTGAGTGTGCGAGCCCCGTGAGGGCAGTGTGGGGGCGGCGGGGGGGGGGGCGCTCAGAGAGAACCGGGGCTGTGGACGCCGCCTCCCTGAGGTCCACCCTGGCTCTTTCACTTCCTGCGGCCCCCTTGCCCAGGTCACTGTCCTCTGTGTGCCCCAGGACGCCCGCAGGTCAGCTGTGTGCGGGGCTGAACTCACCTCAGCCAGGGCTCTGATGATTTTCCCAGGGGGAGAGGGAGAGCCGCGCTGGGGGGCTGTGCGGGGTGGGAGCTGTGTGTGTGAGCACCGCGATGCGTGTGTCCTGCCTGGGAGGGCCTGGCCTCCTCTGCACACAGTCAGGCTCAGGACGGGGCCCCGCCACCGTGCCACAATGTCAATCATGCAGTCCCCTGAGCCAGGCCCTCCCCCACTCCAACTCTTTGCCCTGGGGTACTGACACGGGTGTATGTGTTGGGTCCCCGTGCAGACATGCCCCACGGTGCAGCCAAACATGCTGAACGTTCACCTGCTGCCCCACACACATGATGACGTGGGCTGGGTCAAGACAGTGGGCCAGTACTACTATGGGGGTAAGCACTCGGTGGGCGTGGCCTTTGATGTGTGCCCTGCACATTAGAGGGGAGCAATGCCTGGCCTGGGCTCTGTGTCTAGGAATAACTCCCTCCAGTCTCCGGATTTGGATGCCCTGTGTCCACAGTTTATAATAACCTCCAGCACGCTGGTGTGCAGTACATCCTGGACTCGGTCATTTCCGCCCTGCGGGCAGAGCCCAGCCGCAGATTCGTCTACGTGGAGATGGCCTTCTTCTCCCGTTGGTGGCACCAGCAGACGAACGCAACCCAGCAAGCCGTGCGGGAGCTGGTGCGCCAGGGTGAGCCTGCCCCAAGGACGGGAAATGGAAGCCCGGCTCAGCTTCCTCCTGTAACCCTGGCTTCTGAGATGGGGAGTGAACGCTTTTCTCCTCTCATCCCAGCACCACTCTCCCTGGCCTGGCTCTCAGCCCTTGACCCCGCCCCTGCCCCATTCCGCGCAGGGCGCCTGGAGTTTGCCAACGGTGGCTGGGTGATGAACGACGAGGCGGCCACCCACTATGGCGCCATCGTGGACCAGATGACGCTGGGGCTGCGCTTCCTGCAGGACACGTTCGGCGACGACGGGCGCCCCCGTGTGGCCTGGCACATCGACCCCTTTGGGCACTCTCGGGAACAGGCTTCGCTCTTTGCGCAGGTGCTGTGTGGTCCTCTCTGGATGCACCCTTTCACTCGCTCTGACTCCTCCCTCGCCACTGACCAGCCCTTGGCCAGTTGTGACCCCTGCCAGGTCTGGCTCCAAGAGTGAACCCCTTTTATGGACTCTGCTCTCTCTCCTTTCTCCTCTCCGTGCTCTGGCCCTGCCCCACATGCTAGGATCCTGGCTCCTTCCCAAGCTGAGTGGCAGGTGGCAGCCTAGGGTGCTTTAAACCCACCTCCATTGGTTGTTTCTGGCACAAACACCCTCAGATTACACATGGGTCAGTTTCCTTATGACCTTGACATTTCTGGGCAGGTGGAGATGGATTCTGAGTTTGGCCCCACCTCCTCCCCAAGGTCATGTGGTGCTCTCTGACCCCTCCCCAAATTTGGGAATTAACCCTAGTTTCAGCCACATTCATCTTCCTGTATTCTGCCTGTCTCTCCGAAGCCAAAGGGAGCTTGATGGTGGTGGGTGTCACACTCATTCACAGCGCCCCTCCTACCTCACCCCAGATGAGCTTTGATGGCATCTTCTTGGGGTGCGTGGATTACCAGGACAAAGAGCTGCGGGAGAAGAAGCAGGAGATGGAGCTGGTGTGGCGGGCCAGTGCCAGCCTGCAGCCCCCGACCGCCGACCTCTTCACTGGTGAGGCTGTGGGGTGACCTGAGCATCTTAAAACTCTTAATGTCTTGTGAACCAGAGCCTAGAATTTTCCCTTTGCACTGGACCCTACAAATTATGAAGCCCACCTTATGGGAGGCACGGCAAATTTTGATCCTAGGGCAAGTCTCTTAGACTGATGTGGCCCACAGGTGTGCTCCCCAATGTTTATGACCCCCCGAGGTATCTGTGCTGGGACAGGTTATGCGATGACAAGCCCGTGGTGGACGACCCCAGCAGCCCTGAGCACAACACCAAGGGACTGGTTGATTACTTCCTCAACTTGGCTGCTACCCAGGTAACTAGGTGTCCACAACCTGTGGGACTGAGGTGCACATGGCACACAGCCTTTCCCACAGCCCACATGATGCCTAAGGCCTTCTCATAGCCCTTGGGTGAATGTACTGTTCCAGTCACAGTCTCCATGTCCCACAGTACATTTGCATGCATTCCTCACTGACCCATGCAGAGACAGTGTAGCCATGGGAACCAGTGTCCTCATTGTGTGGTGCTCCCAGGAGAACCACTCACCAGCCTGTGGCTCTTCATGTGTCTGTGTGCTGTCATATGCCACACCCTTACTTGTAGGTTTAGGATCACAGATAAGGGTCCTCAACTGGTTCATTGAGATGCATATTGAAATAACAATGCATGCATTTCAAACTTTTCCAGCAAATCATATTTATATTTAATTTTTAAAGATTTATTTCCTTATTGGAGAGGTAGAGTGACAGAAAGAAGAGGAGACAGAGAGAAAGGTCTTCCATCTGCTGGTTCACTCCCCAAATGGCCCCATTGGCTGGAGCCGCACTGATCTGAAGCCAGGAGCCAAGAGCTCCTTGCTGGTCTCCCACATGGATGCAGGGGCACAAGGACTTGGGCCATCTTCTGCTATCCCAGGCCATAACAGAGAGCCAAATCAAAGAGGAGTAGCTGGTACTCGAACCAGCACCCATATGGGGATGCTGGCTCCACAGTTGGAGGATTACCCTACTGTGCCACAGCGCCGGCCCCCGTAATGTTTAATTAAATATTTTAATGATTTATTTACTTATTGGGAAGGCAGCATGATAGATATATAGAGAGAGACAGTGAGAGTGGGTGGGAAGTAGGGAGGCAGCAAGAGCTTCCATCCACTGGTTTCCTCTCCGAATGCTTGAAACAACTTGGGTTGGGCCAGGCTGAAGACAGGAGCCCAGAACTCCATCTGGATCTCCCATGTAGGTGAAAGGGACCCAAACACTTGAGCCATCTCCCCCTGTCTCCTAGGATGCACATTATTAAGCTGGAGTCAGGAGGTTGGTGCTGTGGTACAGCAGGTTAAAGCCCTGGCCTGCAGTGCTAGCATCCCATATTGGCGCTGGTTCAAGCCCCAGCTGTTCCACTTCCAATCCAGCTTCCTGCTAACATGCCTGGGAATGCAGTAGAGGATGATCCAAGTCCTTGGGCCTCTGCATTACACCTGAGGGGTCTTCCAAAAGTTCATGAAAATGTATCTTAGGAAACATGATGCATGGATCTCTGAATTTTGGCACCAAGATAATTTTATCTTTTAGAATTTACCAGGAACTTTTGGGAACATCCTTCTATATAGAATGAAACAACTAGACATAGTTGTGGCCTGAGGAGAAGGTGGTCTGAGAACTGCCTTTGCCCCACAGCATCAGTCCTACCGCACCAACCACATCGTGATGACCATGGGTAGTGACTTCCATTATGAGAACGCAGACATGTGGTTCAAGAACCTTGACAAGCTCATCCGGCTGGTCAACGCACAGGTCAGTGTCCCCACTCTGTGCTGTTCCTGTCCCAGTGTGTACTTGTATGCAGGGACTTAGGTCATGGGGCAAAATGACAGGTGCCGTCTTAGTGTCCTCTTGCTTCTGCACAAATTGAGCTGCTCAAAACAGCAGAAATCCATGGTGCCCCAGATCTAGGCTCAGCAGTTGAGCACGGATCGCACTGGGCTGGCACGGAGGTGTGGGCAGGGCTGGGTGCCTCCTAGAGGCTTTGGGAGAGAACCTACGTCTTTGCCTTTTCCAGCCTCGGGACACTGCCTGGGTTCCTTGGCTCCTGGCCCCTTCCTCCTGGCCACACAGTGCCTCTCAGAGCCTGAATCTATAATCACATCTCTTTTTCATTCTGTATCTCCCCCTTCTTGTTTTACTTTAAAAATGTTTTCATTGATTTGTTTTTATTTTTTGCTTGAAAGGCAGAGAGACAGAGAAGGATAGGCACAGAGCGCTCTTTCAACTACTATTTCACCCCCCAAACATCTACAATGGTGGCCCAGGCTGGCCCAGGCTGATGCTGGGAGCTGGGAACTCAATTGGAGCCTCCCCCTGTGGGTGGCAGGAACCCAAGCCCTTGGGACACCATCTGCTGCCTGCCAGGAGCATCTGCAGGAGCCTGGGTCACACGCGTGGAGTGGCGGGGACTTTAAGTAGGCACTCCGGTGTGGGATGTCCCGTGGTGGTGAGTGGCAGCTCGCCTGGTTCAGCACAATGTTCTGAAGCACTCAGGGTCTGAGTTGCCTCCCCTCTCCTGGGCTGTGAATTCCACGAGGGCTGGGGCGGCCTCTCTGTTTCTGAATTGTGTGTGCACTCCTGAGTGTATCAAAGAACAGAGTGATTGGCCATGAACACAGTGTGAGTGTGTGTGTGACAGTACTGTTGACCCACAGCAGCAGTGGAGTCCACACCCATCCAAGGAATCAATCAACTGTGTGTCAAAAGTATTTTTAGGCCGGCGCCGCGGCTCACTAGGCTAATCCTCTGCCTTGCGGCGCCGGCACACCGGGTTCTAGTCCCGGTCGGGGCGCCGGATTCTGTCCCGGTTGCCCCTCTTCCAGGCCAGCCCTCTGCTGTGGCCAGGGAGTGCAGTGGAGGATGGCCCAGGTGCTTGGGCCCTGCACCCCATGGGAGGCCAGGAAAAGCACCTGGCTCCTGGCTCCTGGCTCCTGCCATCGGATCAGCGCGGTGTGCCGGCCGCAGCGCGCCGGCCGCGGCGGCCATTGGAGGGTGAACCAACGGCAAAGGAAGACCTTTCTCTCTGTCTCTCTCTCTCACTGTCCACTCTGCCTGTCAAAAAAAAAAAAAGTATTTTTAAAAATCATGGGGCCAGCATTGTTGAGCAATGCACTAAGTAACCATCTCCCACTCTGGCATTGCTTATCAGAACCCAGGTTCCAGTCTCAATGTTCTACTTCCAAAACAACTCCCCTCTAAGTAAAAGTGAAAGATGACCCAAGTGCTTGAGCCTCTGTCAGACATGTAGGAGATCCAAATGGAATCCTGGCTCCTGGGTTTGGCCAACCCCAGCCCAGCTATTATGGCCATTTGGGGAATGGACCAGTGGATGGAACCACTTATAGCTCTGTCTCTGTCTCTCTGCCTTTCAATGCAATAAATAAATATTTTAAAATGTATTGTATCGGCATTGCACATACACAGATTTTTTTTAATTTTTATTTGAAAATTTAATTTATTAATCTGAAGGGCAGATAGTTCATATGCCGGTTCACTTCCCAAACATTTGCTACACCAGAGCTGGGTTGTGCTGAAACCCAGAGTTGGGAACTCAAGCCATGTTTCCACATGGATGACAAGGAACCAACTATTTGACCCTCCACGTGCTACTTCCCAGGGTGTGCTTTTGCAGGAAGCTGGAGTTGGGAACAGGGCTGGAAATGGAACCAAGTCACTCTGATATGGGATGTGGACATCTATTTCCATCTCAACTGTTGCCTAAAATGCCTGCCTTAGATTTTTTCTTGTAATTTTCCCCCAAACAATACTAACAACTATTGTGAACACTTGCATTGTATTAGGTATTCTACATCATCTAGAGATGATTTGAAGTATACAGGATCACAGGCTAAGCCTCCACCTAGGACGCCGGCATCCCATGAGCATGGCTCCCATCCTGGCTGCTCTATTTCCAATCAAGCTCCTTACTAATTCACTTGGGAAAGTAGCAAAAAGATGTCTGCCACCCACATGGGTGGATGGAATTCCAGGCTCGGGCTTCAGCCTGCTCCGCCCACAGCCATAATGGCCATTTGGGGAATGAACCAACAGATGGCAGATCTCTCTCCCTCTTCCTTCCTCTCCTCTGTAACTTTGCCTTTCAAATAAATAAATCAATGTTTGAAAAAACACCGGAGGATGTGCACTGGTCTCTGCAAATACTATGTAACTGACCTAAGTGACTTGAGATTTATGGATTTAGGTATCTTCTGGGGGTCCAGAAACCCATCCACTTGGGTCCTGAGGGCCGGCTGTAGGCATGTATGAATGTCTGTGTGTAGACAGATGGGATGCACAGTTCTTCGTTCACTGAAATGTTTGTTGAGCACCTACTGTGTACACTGGAAGACATCATTTTCCTCATTCATGTCACCTTCCTGTGACCTCACCTCCCTCACCATTTGTTCACCTTGAAACTGCCTTTTGGCAGCAATCAGACAAGGCTGAAAATGGTCAATCCTGTCCTATAATGTCACACTTTTTATCATGAACATTTTTCATACAAAAATTTGAATTATTGCAAAGGTTTAGGAAAATTCCAGCACGATACACATTCCTCCCAAGGAAGCTGATGGTTGGTGGTGACCAAAATTCCCTTTCCCACGTGAACGCTGGTGTGGGTGTGCACTCCGAAGATGGACTCAGCACCGAAGCCGACCAGATGCGCGCCTGTGGGCGTCGAGTGGGAGGCCGGATGGACGCAGCTGTGGGTCCCGGGGACGCAGCGTTGTCCCCGAGGGCTCACCCACTCCCCTCCCCCCAGCAGCAGGCAAAGGGGAGCCGCGTCCACGTGCTCTACTCCACCCCCGCCTGTTACCTCTGGGAGCTGAACAAGGCCAACCTCACCTGGTATTTGGGGACCCTGGGGGGCTGGGGGTTGGCACGCCCCGCGCCTCGTGACCCCACCCTCTCTGACCGCGCAGGTCGCTGAAGGAGGACGACTTCTTCCCATACGCCGATGGCCCCCACCAGTTCTGGACCGGCTACTTCTCCAGCCGGCCGGCCCTCAAGCGCTATGAGCGCGTCAGCTACAACTTCCTGAAGGTGGGCGGCGCCGGCGGGAGGGGGCAGCCAGGAGGCCCCTTAGACCAGGAGCCTGAACTTGTGCACTGCTCCCCAGGTGTGCAAGCAGCTGGAGGCGCTGGCGGGCCCGGCGGCCAACGTGGGGCCCTATGGGTCGGGAGACAGCGCTCTCCTAGGTAGGGGTCGCCCGGCGTGGAGGTAGGGGCGGGAGAGGGGCTGAAGATGGGACCCAGCCCATGGCGGCCACCAAGACGCTAACCAAGAGGCACCTGCCCTTTCCTGTCCCCGCGGGGTCCGGGCTGAGTTCCACGAGGACCCCTCCCGCACCCCTGTGTGCCCTCAGAGGAGGCCATGGCTGTGCTGCAGCACCACGACGCCATCACGGGCACCTCCCGCCAGCTCGTGGCTGAGGACTACGCGCGCCGGCTGGCTGCCGGATGGGGGCGCTGCAAGGTGCGCGGGGCGGGGCCCGGGCGCTGGTGGATACTGGAGGAGGCGGGGTCAGAGCTAGGAGGAGGTGGTGGCAGAGACTGGAGACCAGGAGGAACAGGGCATGGGAGACCCTGGGCGCAGATGGAAAGGGGCAGAGCTCGAGACTGGGGGCGAGGGTGGATCCGGGTGGGGCGTGGTTGCGACGTGTGGAACCCAAAGAGGCGAGAGAGGAGGAGCTTAGGCTGACAAGCAAAAGAAAAAGGGGCGGTGCTTCAGAGGGGTGGGGTAGAGATGGGGCCAGGGACTGGCACGCCAGGCAGAGACCCAGGTGGGCGTTTACAGCGAGGCCGCCCCGTGGCGCTGCCCCCCAGGTTCTCCTGAGCAACGTCCTGGCGCGGCTCAGCGGCTCCCAGGAGGCTTTCTCCATCTGCCCGGAGCTCAACATCAGCGTCTGCCCGCTCAGCCAGACGTCGGCGCGCGTGAGCCGGGTGGGGGCGGGGCGGGAGGCAGGTGCCGCGGGCGGGCCCCAGGGGGAGGTGACCCCACAGGTGATGGGGCGCACGGAAGAGGAGCCAGGGCTGCCGCTGATGGGGTGCACGGGGTGGTGGTAATTATCTGGGATGACCTTTGTGGAGCGAGATTTATGGGTCTCAGCCAAGCCAGGGCAGGACAGAGACCAGGACCGCCGCCCCAGTTCCACACGCCCTCCCTGTCCCCCTCCCCCAGTTCCAGGTCGCCATTTACAACCCCCTGGCCCGGAAGGTGGACCGCATGGTGCGGCTGCCAGTCAGTGCGGGCGCTTTCCTCGTGAAGGACCCCAGTGGCCACGCGGTGCCCAGCGATGTGAGCCCCTTCAGGGACTGTCACCCGTGGACACCAATGGGCACGCCCCTCCCCCTCGTGGTCCCCTCCTGTCCCTGCAGATCTCTGCCCGCTCTGGCCCTTAGCATCAGCCCCCCTCCGAGCATCTCTCCCACCCGAGTGGTCCCCTTTAATCCCCCAGGACATTTCCTCCGTGTTTCTGGAGAGCCCCTGCCTCCCAGACGGCCTCCCCTATTGAGCCTCCTCCTCCCCTGCAGTCCTCCCTCCCTCCATTGCCTCCCCCGTCTCTCTCCTCCCTCCCAGGACTCCCTCCCCTCCTCGAGTTTGCTCCTGCTGTACTGAGTGTGATGCGTTCTGTGCACACCCACAGCCTCTTGGCTCAGCTTCCCCCCTCCCTTCCCCGAGGTGCTGCTGCTTCCCCAACCAGAGGGACAGAAGCCCAGGCCAGAGCTGCTGTTCTCTGCCTCAGTGCCGGCCCTGGGCTTCAGCATCTACTCTGTAGCTCAAGTGTTTCCAGAGAAACCCAAGGTCCACAGGGCCCGGCCCAGCCCTGAGAAATCAGGTAGCTTTGTTATCCACAATGAGGTGAGTCTCCTTCAGATCATTATTGCTACCTGGGTATTTGAAGTCTCCTGGTGAGCAGTGCCACCGCACGGTTGGCAGTACCTGGGTTGGTTGTCTGCCATTACCTCCCTCCCCTGATGCTGTGACCTTGAGTGAATGTCCTTCTTGTTAGCCTCAGTGTCCTTTCTGGAGACTGTTGTATGAACCCAGTGTGGTCTTGGGGGACCCTTGACAGATATGTCTGACCTCAAGAAAGGTGGAGGTGTGTGTGTGTGTGTGTGTGTGTGTGTGTATGTTTTACAATTAACTTATTCATTTGTTTGAGAGGCAAAGAGAAAGAGAGAGACCCTGTCTCCTAGTGTATTCCCCAAATACCCACAAGATATACAGCAAGGCTGAAGCTGAGAACTGTGCACTCAATCCAGTTCTCTCCCCAGAGGTGGCGGGAGCCTGGCTATTTGAGCCATCACTGCTGCCTATCAGGATCTGTGTTCAAGGAAAGCTGCAGTGAGTAGCTGGAAGCAGAAATGACACCAAGTCGTTCTGAGGCAGGGGACACAAGGACCTTAGTTGTTAGAGCAGATGTGTGCGCAGGAGGTTGGCAACTTTCCTGGAAATGGGGTAGGTAAAGACAGACCTGAGAGAGGGAGACAGACACAGCTGGGCCCCTGCGTTAAGACTGCCAGGAGTTTTTCTATTTTTTATTTAAGATTTTATTTACTTACTTGAAAGTCAGATTTACACAGAAAGAATGAGAGGCAGAGAGAGAGAGAGAGAGTCCTCCATCTGCTGGTTCACTCCCCAACTGGCTTCAATGGCGGGAGCTGCACCAATCTGAAGCCAGGAGCTTCTTCCCTGGTCTCCTGCACAGGGGCAGGGGCCCAAGCACCTGGGCCATCTTCCACTGCTTTCCCAGGCTATAGCAGAGAGCTGGATCAGAAGTGGAGCAACCAGGACTTGAACCAGCACGCATATGGATGCCGACACTGATGCTGGCACTGCAGGTGGCGGCTTTATCCGATGTGACACAGTGCTGGCCCCATACCTTCAGGAGTTTAAAAGAGAAAAAAAAAAGCTTCTCATGGCCTTATTTCCATAAAAACTTAAAAACCGTGGTTTGTGGAAGTGTTGGCATAAAGATAACTGTCATCCCAGATGGCTTCACTGTTATACTTATTTCATTATTATACTTCATTGATTATACTTTCCTTAGTGTTTTCTGAGGTTTTGATTCTGACAGAAATGAAAATATTTCTCTGGGCCCCCAATGACCTGTGGGAGCTGGCATCATGGTTCCTGTGTTGGATGCTCAAAATGGCTTTGATCTGAATCAGATGAGAGCTGTAACTGGAGTTGGGATGTCCCAGGTGTCCCCTCAAGCTACTGTGGGAGAGAGAGAGTAGGGTGCAAACATAGAAGCAAGGGACCTGGAGACATCAAGTGCATCAGTCCTGGGGGGCCATGGAGTGACAAAAGTGGAGCCATTACGATTCCCTAATGGGATCGAGTGTGAGGAGTGAGAATGAGAGGAAGTGCGGAGCGTACAGGGTTCTGTCCTGAGCACCAGGAAGAATGGAGCTGCCATTGGCTGAGGCGATGGTCACTCACGTGTGTTTCCTTTTCTGCCCAGTTCATCCGGGCTATGTTCAGCCATGAGACAGGCCTCTTGACTCAGATTGAGGTCACGGACCAGAAACTCATGCTGCCCGTGAACCAGACTTTTTTCTGGTGAGGAGGATCATCAAGCCAGGGAAGGGGGTGGTGCATGGAGCTGGAGCCCCTGATCAGATTCTCACCTGCCCTGATGACAGGTATAATGCCAATACAGGTGTCCTACAAAACGATCAGCCCTCTGGTGCCTACATCTTTAGTCCCGATGGAATGCAACCACTGCCTGTGAACAGCTCAGCTCAGATCCGCCTGCTGAAGGTATGGGGCCAGGAATTATGAGTGGGAATTCGGGGTGGGAGGTTGGGTGTGTGGGAACTGGGAGAGTGCCAGGTGTGCTGGGTGGGAGGTGCAGAGAGGAGAGGATTCCCACCTCCTCCAGGTAAGAGGCTAAGACCTAAGGGGAATACTGGGGGGTCCCCCCAAGGGCTGATGTTCCGGGCTGCTCTGTGTCCTGGGGAAGCACATGTAAGGCTTTTGTGTCTGCTGTGGTGTCAGGATGACACTTAGCATTAGGAACCCTGGCTGGGGTGTTCCCACATGGCCCATGAGTGGGGAGAGCCAACTCTAGCTACTTGCAGAGGGCACCGAGTTCTATGCAAAGAGCAGTTGACATGGAGGCTGGAGACTTGAGTCTCCTGTAGGGTAGGGGTCTACTGGGATGGGCGTTTTCCCAGGCTTCTCACTTAGCTTCTCTTAGTGTGGGAGAACGAAAGATGATGGCGAGACGCACGTTCGTGCTCGCTCAGGAGCCTGATGTGTGATGGTGTTGCTCTTGAAGTGCTCGTCTTCCTGCTCAGGTCACTGGGTTAGCAGACAGCTTTGCCCGTTGTAACAGATTAGCCACGTCAACTGTGCCCAAGTCAAGACAGATGATCATTGCTGTCCAACAGAAAGTCAGGCTGGTCCATATGGGGAAGGAGGAGCGGTTCCATGGTCACCCAGGCCCCTTCTATTTTGTTGCATTGCCTTCGTCAACACACAGCTTCCCCATGGTCCTACATGGCTGCTCAGCCTCCAGCCACGACCCCTGCCATTGAACCTGCAGGAGGAGGAAAGGGGCAAGCGACATGTTTTACCCCACACTGACGACGTTCCATGGGGCAGACTGAGCCCCACTATCAGCAGAGCCTACAACCAGAACCCACACGCCCTGCTAGAACTCTGCTGTAGGGAGGGCAGATGGGACAGTGGTGGCAGCAAGCACACGGGCCCCACTCAAGACTTCTGTGTCAGGGACTGAGCGGGACATGTGAACTTCACATCCATGCAGGAGGGGTGATGGATGGAATTCCTATGCAATTTTGGGGTTGACCCTGATGGAGGCTTCTGGAGGGTTCACAGCAGGGGGCATTTGCACACCTCCCCTCTGCCCAAGGCTGGGCTGAGCCCCGCCCTCTGCCCTGTGTGTCCTCAGACGCCCTTGGTGCAGGAGGTGCACCAGAACTTCTCAGCCTGGTGTTCCCAGGTGGTTCGCCTGTACTGCGGACAGCGCCACCTGGAGCTCGAGTGGACAGTGGGGCCCATCCCTGTGGAGTGAGTGCTTGGGCTGGGACTGGGGCTGGGGGCAAGGAGTTTAAATATTGTTTAAAATATTTATTTACTTATTTATTCATTTATTTGCAATGGAGGCAGGAGGAGAGAGAGACGGATAGAGGTTTCTCATCTATTAGTTCCCTAGAGCTGAAAGTAGGCCAGGCAGAACATGGGAGCTGGTAGCTCAACCTGGTCCCCGTGTGGGTGGCAGGGCTGTCACTGTCACTGCCTGTCTCTCAGGGTCTGCATCAACAGAGGCAGGAAGCAGGAGCACAGCTGGGACTCAGGCTCAGGCACTGTGATACAGGTGGTAGCGTCACAGATGGTGTCTTAGCCACTGCCCCAAACACCACTGCCCAGAGTGAGTTTAGATGAGGCTCACGAGCTTGCTGTCCCATTGGGTACAGTGACAAGTGGGGGAAGGAAGTGATCAGTCGTTTCGACACGCCGCTGGACACCAAGGGCTACTTCTACACGGACAGCAATGGCCGGGAGATCCTGAAGAGGAGGTGATGGGGACGCAGGGCACCCGCGGGGCAGTGGTGATGTGTGGGGTCCAGGGGCGGGGGCGCTGGCTGATGGTGTGAATGTGGGAGGTTGAGGAAGAACGGAGAGAGCAGAGTGGGGGAGCCAGTGTCCCAGCCTGACCAGATGACCTCCATCCCCCAGGAGGAATTATCGGCCCACCTGGAACTTGACCCAGACGGAGCCAGTGGCGGGGAACTACTATCCAGTCAACACTCGAATTTACATCACGGTACCCTCCCCCACCCCGAACATCCCCAGGTACAGAATGGGGAGCGCCCCTCACTGGCAGCATCTCCCAGGTGCCTGGGGCTGGGACTGGCTCCCCACCCCACCCTCACACTCACCCTGCTCCAACCCTCACCCAGGATGGGAAGAAGCAGCTGACGGTGTTGACGGATCGCTGCCAGGGGGGCAGCAGCCTGCAGGACGGCTCCCTGGAGCTCATGGTGAGTGGGGCTAGGGGAGCTCCAGCCATGGTAGAGTCCTCCCACCAAGTCCCTCAGGACTTTGGACAAGGATAATGCTGGACCCCCTCCCTCTCCTGGCTACTCTCTCCCAGGTGCACCGAAGGCTGCTGAAAGATGACAGACGTGGCCTGGGGGAGCCGCTGTTAGAGAAGAAGTCGTGGGTGCGGGGGCGCCACCTCGTGCTGCTGGACGCGGTGGGCAAGGCAGCCGCGGGGCACCGGCTGCTGGCGGAGAAGGAGGCCCTGGCCCCGCAGGTGGTGCTGGCGCCAGGGAGGGCCACCCGCTACCACCCTGGGGCTACCCTGCGCAAACAGGTGAGGGGCTCACGTGGAGCAGAGACAGGAATCACAGTGAAGCCTGCGCGGGGAATGGGCTTCTGTGTGGGTTTTCCCATGGCTCAGCTGAGACCCACCCCACTCCACCTTCAAGCTCCCTGGGGAGTCCAAAAGCTAGGTCCTTGCCCAGTCCCCACCACCTGCCCTGGTGAGACACAGCCCCAGCTTCCACACTGGCACCTCACTTCAGCCCCGCCCTGCTTGACTTCAGCCCCGCCCCTTCTTTCAGCTGTGTTCTACTTTGCCCCAGTCTCTTCCAATACCGCCTTTGGGGAGCTTCAGCCCCTCCATCCCACCTCGGGCCAGCTCAGCTCTGCCCTCTCTGGACTCTGACCCCAGGTAGCTGGAACCCTTCCCAGCTTGGGGCCACCCCATCCTCTCATTGGCTCAGGCTTCCACGTGATTGCCTTCCTGTCCAAGCCCTGCGCCTAATGACTTAGCCCTGCCTCTGTCTCCCCGCAGTTCTCAGGGCTGCGCCGGGCACTCCCACCCTCTGTGCACCTGCTCACCCTGGCCCACTGGGGCCCAGACAAATTGCTGCTGCGCTTGGAGCACCAGTTCGCCAGGGGGGAGGACTCGGGCCACAACTTGAGCTCCCCTGTGACCTTGGATTTGCTGGTAAGGAGAGATGAGGTGGGAAATAGACAGAGAGGTGAGAGCAAGCAGAGGGAGAGAGCAAGAGGGGAAATCTGCTTTTGTTCTCACTGATCAGGGTCCCATCCATGGTTCCCACAGAACCTGTTCTCCACCTTCACCATCACCCACCTGCAGGAGACCACGCTGGTAGCCAACCAGCCCCGGGCCAGCGCCTCCAGGCTCAAATGGACACCAAACACCGGTGGGCATCTAGGCTGCTGGGGTAGGCTCCTGCCTGGGGCTGGCAGCTGGGGCCGGTGTATGAGGCATCAGAATGTGGGCCAGAAGCCAGTATAGAACCTCAGAACCCTGGGACAGATCCAGGTTAGGGCTTGAGTGTCCAAAGTGGGTTCAGCAAACAAGCAATAGGTCTCAAGGTTTAAGAATTAGGTCCAGGAATAAGATTCGAGGATCTCTGTGGGTGTCCATCTCCCCTGGGGTTGCTGTGAGGGTTTGAGGGCAAGAGCCAGGCTTTTGAGAAGATTTGTGGGACCCAGGGGTGGAATTTAGGCCTAGGGAGAGGTAGTTTAAGGATCATGGAGTGAGGCCCTGGGGACAGATTTGGAAGTGCAGTGTGTCCGCCCTAGGGGTGGGTGAGATGAGGGCCGTGAGGACATCTGCAACCTCTCACTCCTGGTTCTCAGGCCCCGTACCCCTCCCCTCTGTGCCCCCCCTGGACAGTACCACCATCACGCTGCAGCCCATGGAGATCCGCACATTTGTGGCTTCGGTCCAGTGGAAGGAGGACGTTTGGGTCCTCAGGAACGCCCCCTTCCCAGCCTGAGTTCTCTTCTTTCCCCCTTGCTGCTGCTGCTGCCACCCACAAACACCATTAAAATGTCAGTGCTAAGATTCAGGTCACTGGGTGACTGGCTGGTGCATCTTTCATTGCAAGACAGAATGCATGAACTAGGGAGGTCAGTAGATCATAGCTGATCCTTGAAACATTTTCTTTATTTATTTGGCAGGCAGAGTGACAGAGAAACAGAATCTTCTATGAGAGAGAGGGACAGAGAGATCTTCCATCAGCTGTTTCATGCCTCAAATTGCCCCAGTTAGCCAAAGCTGTGTTAGGCCAATGCCAGAAACCAGGAATTCTACCCTGGTCTCCCACGTGGGTGGCTGGGCCTCAAACTTTGAGCCATCATTTGCTAACTTTCCAGGTGCATTAGCAGGAAGCTGGATTGGAAATAGAGCAGTCACTCTTGAACCAGCACTTTGATAGGGGATGCTAGCATTGAAAAAAGCTGCTGAGGCCAGCGCCGCGGCTCACTAGGCTAATCCTCCGCCTTGCGGTGCCGGCACACCGGGTTCTAGTGCCGGTCGGGGCGCCAGATTCTGTCCTGGTTGCCCCTCTTCCAGGCCAGCTCTCTGCTGTGGCCAGGGAGTGCAGTGGAGGATGGCCCAAGTGCTTGGGCCCTGCACCCCATGGGAGACCAGGATAAATACCTGGCTCCTGCCATCGGATCAGCGTGATGCGCCAGCCGCAGCACACTGGCCATGGCGGCCACTGGAGGGTGAACCAATGGCAAAAGGAAGACCTTTCTCTCTGTCTCTCTCTCACTGTCCACTCTGCCTGTCAAAAAAAAAAAAGAAAAGAAAAAAGCTGCTGAACCTGTTGTGTCACAACCCTGCATCCCAGCTGTACCATATTTTTAAAAAGATTTATTTTATTTATTTGAAAGACAGAGTTACAGAGAGAGGTAGAGACAGATAGAGAGGTCTTCCATCTGCTGGCTCACTCCCCAGATGGTCGCAATGGCTGGAGCTGTGCTGATCCAAAGCCAGGAGCCAGGAATTTCCTCCAGGTGTCCCAGTGGGTGAAGGGGCCCAAGCACTTGGGCCATCTTCCACTGCTTTCCTAGGTCATCAGCAGGGAGCTGGATAGGAAGTGGAACAGCCAGGATTTGAACCGGCGCCCATTTGGGATGCTGGTGCTACCGGCTTTGGCTTAACCTACTATGCCACAACGCTGGCCCCTCTCATCTTCTTCAAAAATTTTTTATTTTGGGGTGGGCATTGTGACACAGCGATGTATGCTGGTGCTTGGGATATGTGCATCCCACATTGGAACCAGCTGCCCCGCTTCCGATCTGGCTTCCTGAAAATGCGTGCTGGGCGGCAGTGGGTGATGGCCCAGGAGCTTGGGCGCCTGCCTCCCATGAGCCTGTCCCTCGGCACAGACACCCCATGGTGTCTGTGAAGCCATCCTTCAGCTTCCGCAGCTGAACCAGTGAGGCCTGCCTGATCTTGGACTTTGAACCTCCAAACCGGGGTGCCCAAATAAACTTCCTTTCCTAAGTGGCTTGGCGCAGGTGTATAGTCAAGGTGGTGAGAATCTAACACGGTGGCCATTGGAAGCTCAGGAAGGGGCCGTGTCTGTGCAGCCGCCTCTCTCCCTGTCATCATCACTGTGATCTCAATGGCCTATAGTCCCTGCTCCAAGGCCCCGTCGCCTTCCCTGGGGCCCTCACACATTGTTACCTCCCCCAAGAGCACAGCCACAGCACGGGAGCTGGAATCATTTGTCTCCCACCCCAGGGTTCCAGGATCCAGGAAAACCCCGTGAGCTGTTGTGGCTGCAGATGTGGGTGTGGCCTGCCTCACTTCTGCCCCGCCCCTTCCGGAGGTGACATCAGAGCCCCACCTCCAGCCTGCCTCACCTCTTTTGGAAATAAGAGAGGGGCGGGTCAGTCTAACCTGCGCCTGCGCAGTCGAGTGACGGCCGAATGCTTTACTACGCCACAAAGCATGTTGCATTCTGGGAGCCACGTGATGCTGCCGGCGCCGGCGCGGGCGGGAAGCTTCCGTTAGAGGCCGTGGTTTCCTCACAGGCTGTGCTGTGGGAGCCGTGTCCACAGGAGTTAGAACAGGTGTCCCTTACCAGGAAGAAGCGTGTCCGGATCTCAGCGTGGCGACACCAAACCCAGCCTGGAGCCGCGCAGCTGGGGTGAGGTGAGGGCCGGGGTTTAGTAGGCGCGTGCGCTGTCGGAAACGGCAGGGTAAACCCGGGGTGAGCCAGAGAGGGTCAGGCTCCCTGGGGCCCATGTATCTGCGCGGTCATGGTCCATTTGGGGAGTTTCGGGGTGACAGTGCTTGTGGGGGTGCCATCAGGGACTCCTGTGACCGAGGCGCGTGTGTGCTGTGATGTGGGTTTGACCGCTTTCTAGTCTCTCTCACAGCCCCCTGAGGAAAAAATTTCAAAAATGAACACCGTTTGGACTTGTAACTGTGTTCTGGAGAAAGTAAACACAGGGTAATCTTTAAAAAAAAAAATTTTTTTTTGTTTTTACTTATTTGAAAGAGAGGTAGAGACATGGAGAGGGAGAGAGGTCTTCCATCCGCTGGTTCATTCCCCAAATGGAGCGGCTGGAGCTGAGCCAATCTGAAGCCAGGAGCTTCATCCAGGTCTCCTACGTGGGTGCAGGGGCCCAAGCACCTGGGCCATCTTCCACTGCTTTCCCAGGCCACAGCAGAGAGCTGGATCGGAAGTGAAGCAGCCGGGACTCGAACCAGCGCCCAAATGGGATGCTGGCACCCCAGGCGGCGGCTTTACCCGCTGCGCACAGCGCTGACCCCGGGGTGATCTTGATATGGAAAACTTAGGAGCTGGAAATGGCCGTTCAGAGGTCTCCAGGAAGACGGGCAGCTGATGCCCAGAAAGTGGCATGTGGCCAGGCAGATCCCGTTGCAGGCAACACTGTGGGATAGGACACTGTACTTCAGCGCTGCAGCGTTCCCGAAGATCTGGCCAAGGAAACAGATGTCAACTCAGAGAGTCTCGGGGGCCATCTCACTTGTCTCTAGATGTGGGTGTGGGTGAGAGCAGGTGTAGTTTTTACACAGACCTTCAGCCCGGGTTCCAAGACAGGCTACCCGGTGGTGGACACAAGTGTTGTTGGGGCAAAAATCGAAGTTCCTAAGAATTTCGTTTCTCCTAGTATATGAAGGTGGTGTGTATTGGCTTGTTTTCTGTTATTTTGAATATGTACACATACTGTTCTGGGTATACCAGTAAGTTTTTACGAATGCAGTTATACCACCACCGAGATGGAGAACAGACTGTCCCCACAAAAGAAGATTCCGTGGTGCCCATTTGTACTGAAACCCCTTCACCCCTTAACTGAGGGTCCAATGAGATACTAACCATCATGAAATCATATAGTCTCTGTAGAGCTTGGGAACAAAGTTAGTATTGAAGAAACGGGCAGAGATGGAGAGCCTTTATTTAAGACACTAAGAGGTAACTCCTCTCCTCCCACTCCCTTCCATATGCGGGCTGGAGGCCGCAGCGTACACACATAATACCTGTCAGCAGAAAAATTAGCTTTGTGGGTCATTGAAACCAAAGCTTCCAGGTACGTATAAAAAGGCATTAAAAATTTTGTAGCATGATGATAAACGTCCTTTTCCACTCAGGATATTACTCAGCACCCTTAATCAAACTTGGAGAAATTCTGTGCTTTACTGGGTTGTATATTGTGTTACTTAAATCTGTATCGCAGAAAAATAACAGTAGATCTAAAATCTTTTCAAATGATGTTAAACAGATACATAAGTACTGCAAATAACCACAGCCCAAAGCAATGGGAATTCTCTTTATGACTGATTGATTGATTGATTTGAAAGGCAGAGTTACAGAGAGGCGGGGGGAGGGGGGGAGGTCTTCCATCCACTGGTTCACTCCCTAGATGGCCACCACAGACGGAGCTGGGCTAATCCGAAGCCAGGATCCAGGAGCTTCTCCTTGGTCTCCCATGCTGGTGCAGGGGCCCAAGCACTTGGGCCATCTTCCACTGCTTTCCCAGGCCATAGCAGAGAGCTGGATCAGAAGTGGAGCAGCCAGGACTCGAACTGGCGCTCATATGGGATGCCAGCACTACAGGTGGTGGCTTTACTCACTACACCTCAGCACCAGCCCCCAACAATGGGAATTCTTACATCCTAGAAACCCATTTCCAAACTTTTGATCACGTATTGCATGCCACGTATTACATGCACTAAAACCTTTAACCATTGCAAAAATGAAGGTGAACCATTTCTGCACCTTTGTCACTGTGGGGATCATTACTGTTCATCCTAGGAGTGCAGGGGTTTATTGTACCCCTTCCTTCTATCCACATCCAAGGAGTTCCTCTAACAATGGTTAAGATGTATTAGATGTGGAAATATGACGTCCTTGCTCATGAGGCCACTACCCTCCATAGAGTAGATACACAATACACTCCAGCTTCCCTATTATCTCTCTTCATTTACTTTCCCTCAAGGTCCTTATTTCCCAAGATTTACCCTTTGTTCACCATCTGTTTTCCTACAAAAACATAAACAGCATGATTCCAAGAATTTGTTTCATACCTGTTCATCCAGAGTCTAGAGTTTTTCTGGTTATTTGTGCTTAACTTTACATTTGAAGTCTGGCATATGAGAAATGTTGAAATATTGGCATGTAGGCCAGTGCCATGGCTCACTAGGCTAATCCTCCGCCTGCAGCACCGGCACCCCAGGTTCTAGTCCTTGTTGGGGTGCCAGTTCCGTCCCAGTTTCTCCTCTTCCAGTCCAGCTCTCTGCTGTGGCCTGGGAAGGCAGTGGAGGATGGCCCAAGTGCTTGGGCCCTACAACTGTGTGGGAGACCAGGAGGAAGCACCCGGCTCCTGGCTTCGGATGGGCGTGGCGCACCAGCCACAGAGCACCGGCCGTAGCAGCCATTTGGGGGGTAAACCAACAGAAAGAAGACCTGTCTCTCTGTCTCTGTCTCTCTCTAACTCTGCCTGTCAAAAATAAATAATAACACAAAAAAGGAAATATTGGCATGTGGGAAATGTTGAAATACTGAAATCAAGAGGTAAGTGTTTGGCTCAGTGGTTAAGGAACTGCTGGGGACAAACTCATATGGAAATGCCTGGGATCAGGGCCCAGCTCCACTTCAATTCAGCTTCCTGGTAATGCGCACTCTGGGAGGGAATAGGTAATGGCTCAAGTAGTTGGATTCCTGCCATCCACATGGGAGATCCAGAGGTAGTTCCAAACTGCTGCCTCAGGCCTGGTCTAATTCTAACTGTTGTGAGTATTTGGGAAGTGAACCAGTAGATGAAGGGTCTCTTTCCGAATAAAATGAAAATAAGTTAAAAATTAAAATTGGCACAAAGAGCATAGTTTCTCAGCAAGAAAGACTTGATTGGAACAGTTACCATGTCTTTGTCCCTTGCTGCATTTCTTATCATCTGACAGTTCTAAATTTAGAAGCCTAAGTTGACTCATAATAGAGATATTAAAGTATTACATATTTTCCTATAAAATAAGTATATTCATCTATTTCAACTGAGGTACCCAAATTTCCCTTATTTCATTTATATGACTGGTGTATCTTAGAACTAGCTTTGATTCTACTACATTATTTTATCCTTCTAATTTAAGGTTATGATTATGCTTATGATCTAATTGAAGGTTATGATACAATTTTACACCCTCAAAGCATCCATTATAGAGAAATGCCTTACTTCTTTCAGTAGCTATCCAATCACCTAACACAAATCCAAATCCTTTTAGAATTCCTTCTGAATGCCCTCTTTTGAGGTGGAGATATTCTTATGGTAATCTACTATCTTTTGCCAAGATCCACCTGTTTTCTTAGCACTACATATAGGTGAGGTGAATGGTGATATAGGGGCAATCATAACCTCAAATCTTTCAAGTCCTTAACAGTGGCAAAAATTTTTTCCATGCATTTTTTTGTTTGTTATTTTATATTTAGAGACAGATTTGGTGGCTTCCATTTGTCTTTCCTATCATAATACTCCTCATTCCACAAGTCAGTAAATCAGTGCAGTCATTTTAATAGTTACTGAGTATGCCTATTTAGAACTGTGAAAATAATCACAGAATAGGTTGGGAGAGAGAGGTCTCTCCAAGCCCACTGTGAGATGGAAGCTAAAAATCTGTTAATCATCTAACTTTCTTAGGTATTAACTGTGATTTGTTGACCAACATGTTGCTCAGAGCCTGAAATTAGTTCAGAGCCAGTGTTTAGTAATCCTGAATGCTCTGATCATTTCTTTATCCCTGATGTAGCCTCCCTGGTAAAAGGCCATAGGTCCCTTTGAGGAAGACTGGGAGAAATAATTAGCAATGTACCATGGTGCTTCCTCAATGGGAACCTGGCCTCTCCTTCATTCTAGAGCTGTTGGTTCTCTTTGCTCTGGGGTCCTCTCCTGTGTACTTTCAGATACCTGATTCTACTCCCTACGTGTCTCCCACACTTCTCCTCTTCCTCACTTTATATGTTGTTATACATAATGTATTTATTTACCTAATTACCAACTAATTGATTCTGTGATAGTTAATTTCATGTCCACTTGATTGGGTTATGGGGTGCCCAAAAATTTGGTGAGACATGATTTTGGGTATATCTCTGATGGCACTTTAAAAAAAAAAAAATTGATTGATTTATTTATTGGAAAGTCAGAGTTACAGAGAGGAGAGGCAGAGAGAGAGAGGTCTTCCATCCGATGGTGCACTCCCCAGTTGGCCACAACAGCTGGAGCTGTGTCAATCTGAGGCCAGGAGCAAGGAGTCTCTACCAGGTCTCCCACACGGGTGCAAGGGCCCAAGGACTTGGGCCATCTTCTACTGCTTTCCCAGGCCATAGCAGAGAGCTGGACCAGAAGTGGAGCAGCCAGGACTAGAACTGGCACCCATATGGGATGCCAACACTTCAGGCCAGGCGTTAACTCACTGCACCACAGTTCCGGCCCCTGATTGCACATTTTGAAATTAACATTTGAATTGGCAGAACTAATTCCTAGTGTGCATTTGATGAATGGCCCTCTATAGAAATAATTAAGCAGAAAGAGTTATAAAAGTAGGAACTTGATCCCACAGAATTAATGTCCTATGAGAAGACATACCAGAGAGGATATTCTCTCTCTGCTCGTGAATGCATATAGAACAAGCGAGGTTATCCCAAAGCAAGAAGACATGATCTACAATGCAAGAAGAGTTCTCACCATTAACTGAATTGGCTGAAATCTTGATATTAGATCTCACAATTTTTTTTTTTAATTTACATGGTATGGTCCATGGTATTCTTTCTGGCAGCCTGAGCACACTAACACAGATCTTGGTATTGAACACTGTTGTGCTGCTAAATGCTAAATGCTGGAAACAGGCAATGCCTAAGAGGCTTGAAGGGTTTTGAGGTACGCACCAGGAAAATATTGCCATGAACAGACAGTTGGTAGAAATACGGAAAATACAGGTTATTCTGTTGAGATTTCAGGTAGAAATGTGAGCGAGGTTATTGGAAACTGGAGGAAAGGTGATCCTTTCTGGCAAAGAACTTTAATTAACTCTCTTCTGCTTTTTGGAAAGTGGAATTTGTGAGCCTTGAAATAGGACATTCAACAGATTTCTAAGAAAAGTGTTAGAGTACGTTGGTTCTTCCTCATTGCTTTTAATAAAATACAAGGAAAAAGGTGAATGGGATGAATAATCAGAAAGAAATCAGAACTTAAATTTCTGGAATATTCCAAGTCTGTCCATATTGCACAGATTGAGAAAGCATATTCAGAAGAAAACACCAATAGTATTGCTGGACCATCAGCTAATAAAAAGAATCCAGGATTGGAGCCAACATGGGGACACCGTGAGTTAGGCTTCCACCTGTGATGCCAACACCCCGTGTGAGCACCAGTTCAAGTTCCAGCTGCTCTACTTCTGAGCCAGCTCCCTGCTGGTGCACCTGGGAAGGCAGTGGAAGATGGTGCAAGTGATCGGGTCCCTGCACCCACATGGGAGACCCTGATGGAGTTCGATGCTCCTGGGGTTAGCCTGGCCCAGCCCAGGCCTTCGCAGCCATTTAGGGAGTGAACCAGTGGATGGAAGATCTCTGTCTCTCCCTTTCTCTGTAACTCTGCCTTTCAAATGAATAAATAAATATTTTTTAAAAATAGTACAGGATTGTCAGCAAGAAACATTGTCTGTTCCAACTCAAGAGGAAAGAGGATGAAATGAAGAATGGCTGGGTGATAAATTTGTTCTTCTGCAAGCATGCTTAACCCTTCCAGAATTGTGATGAGGGCTGGCATTGTGGCGTAATGGATTAAGCCACCACCTGCAATGCCAGCAACCCATATGGGCACTGGTTCAGGTTCCAGCCACTCTGCTTCCAATCTAGCTTCTTGCTGTTGGCCTGGGAGAGCACTGGAAGAGGGCCCAAGTGCTTGAGCCCCTGCACCTGTGTAGGAGACTCAGAAGAATCTCCTGGCTCCTGGAGAGCCATCTGGGGAGTGAACCAGCAGATGGAAGATGTCTGTCTCTCCCTATCTCTGTAACTCTGTCTCTAAAATAAATAAATAATTTTTTTTAAAAAAGCAATCTTTTTGGTTTGTCAACTGGAAAATGACAGTGGGCCTGTAAACACACTACTCTCAGCAAACATTCATGATGGCTAGAACTACACAGAAAACTATAACCCTTCCCCAAACTATGAATAGCTCTACAGTTTAACAGGGCAGTTATTTTGTCAGTTATTGTGTATAGTAGCAGAAATGATAATGTCAAACATTAGAGCAAATGTCACACGTCGTCAGGCCTATTCCATAACCAGGATGGATCTACACAAGAATAAAGATACTAACTATAAAAAATAAGTTCCAAACAAATGACAAAAATCTCCCTCTCCTAACATTAAGAGTGCTTTTTTTTCCTCCTTCTTTTAAAGATTTATTTGAAAGATAGAGTGACAGAGATCCCCCATCTCCTGGTTCATTCCCCAAGTACGTACAATAGCCATGGCTTGCCAGGCCAAAGCAGGAGCCAGGAACTCCATCTGGATCTCCCATGAGGGTGGCAGGAATCCAAGTACTTGGGCCAGAATCTGCTGCCTCCCAGGTGCATTAGCAGGAAGCTAGATTGGAAGGAAGTAGTAGCTGGGACTTGAACTGCTATTCTGCTATGGTATGTGGTGTTCCAACCTGTGTCACCATTTTTGCCCTGACGGGTACTTCTTACAAATAGGTTTAGCTTCACTGTATTCTTTCTCTCTGTAGAACATAAGATTAACAGTGACAGAATTTTTTTTTTTTAACTATTTGAAAGAGCTAGAGAGAGAGAGAGATACAGAGATCTTCCATCTGCTTGTTCACTCCCAGATGGCTGCCACAGGTGGGGCTGGGCCAGGCTGAAATCAGGAGCCAGAAGCTTCCTCCAGTTTTCCCATGTGGGTAGCAGGGGCCCAAACACCACAGCCATCTGCTGCTTCTCTTGGGCCATTGGCAGGGAGCTGCATCAGAAGCAGAGAAACTGTGATGTGAGCTGGTGCCTGTATGGGGAACCCCATTATGCCACAATGCCAGCCACAGTGACAGAATTCTTTTCACCTTCTCAAATGAATACGAAGTAACATCTTGATTCTTTGAAAAGCAATCACCTACCAGAAGTGTGAATAATATGTCCCATTAGGCACCCTGCTACTGATAATACATCATTAATGTTTTATGGTTCATTGTGCCACTGTCTTTGACTACAGGTGTGACCATGGCAACTTTTGGTAATAAAACCACGACAAAGTCTTTGCTCTCATGAAAAGTTAGTTTTATTACAAAATGTGTTATATGTAGGAATAAAAAATAAAACATACCCAAAGAGGATCTTTGAACTCAAATGCACATGCTAATATTGCATCAGAATGTATGATTGGCTGGTGCCACGGCTCAGTAGGCTAATCCTCCGCCTTGCGGCGCCGGCACACCAGGTTCTAGTCCCGGTTGGGACACCGGATTCTGTCCCAGTTGCCCCTCTTCCAGGCCAGCTCCCTGCTGTGGCCCGGGAGTGCAGTGGAGGATGGCCCAAGTGCTTGGGCCCTGCACCCTATGGGAGACCAGGATAAGCACCTGGCTCCTGCCTTCGGATAGGCATGGTGCACCGGCTGCGGCGGCCATTGGAGGGTGAACCAACGGCAAAGGAAGACCTTTCTCTCTGTCTCTCTCTCTCACTGTCCTCTCTGCCTGTCAAAAAAAAGAATGTATGATTAACTTGATAAAAATTATATTATTTTAAATAGTAAATGTAAAGGATACTTTTAAAGATATCCTCTCAGGAAAACATAGGGTTTGTTAATATGCAGATGACTTAAGAGCATTTTATATTTCTTTTTTTTTTAATGATTTTTTTTTTTTTGACAGGCAGAGTGGACAGTGAGAGAGAGACAGAGAGAAAGGTCTTCCTTTGCCGTTGGTTCACCCTCCAATGGCCAGTGCACTGCGCCAATCCGAAGGCAGGAGCCAGGTGCTTCTCCTGGTCTCCCATAGGGCCCAAGCACTTGGGCTATCCTCCACTGCACTCCCGGGCCACAGCAGAGAGCTGGCCTGGAAGAGGGGCAACCGGGACAGAATCCGGTGTGCCGGCACCACAAGGCGGAGGATTAGCCTAGTGAGTCGCGGCGCCGGCCACATTTGATATTTCTGAGAAATGCATACAGCAATGTTGCTTCAGAAAAATGCAGATTTTAATCCCATACAGTTGGATACAGTAGAAATGTACCTGTTGAGTATACTTTGAGAATGAGGCATACCCACAATTTTGTGACATGGAAGGACTGGGAGAGAGCAGTCACTGCATACTGTGTTAGGGAAAAAACTCTCATAGTTCTTTCTGACTGCACCATTCTAGTTGTCATGGTAGGATCAGTAACATAGAGTCACTAATAGTATTAACAACAGAACTGTACAAATTAGACCTTATGGGAGTATAGCCTAAAGCAAGCAGGAAGACACAGCATCAGAGAATATTCCATCTCAAATTTCCATGATAGCCCAAATTAGCTGCTTGGTACACATGAGGTTTAGAGGTAAAATGCCAAGCTATGGGTAGATCTTTGACAGGAGCCTGTGAATATAAATGTGGAAATCTACACATCTTGAAAATGGGAGTCAGGCAGTTGGGTATTTTGAAAATACTCTTGATTTGGCAGAGGGTGGGTAAAAAAAAAAAAAAAAACACACAGGGAAATTGGCAGGAAGCAGGTACACACCCAGGGCCTGTATAATGGCTTGCCTCCCAGTGTAATGGTTCTGCTATTGGATTAATGTCTTCATTTTAAAAACTTAAAGACCAAATAGAATGACATTTTCCTCTTTTTGAAGTTATTATTTTCATGAGATGGAAGTTTTTATTTTTATCAGACAGACAGAAACATATCTCTCATCCACTAGTTCACTTCCTAATGCCCACAATAGCCAGAGATAGGCCAGGCCCAAGCTCAGAATTCAATCTGGGTTTCCTACATGGGTAGCAGGAACCCAGGTATTCAACCCATGATCTGCTGCTTTGTAGGGTGCACAATGGCAGAAAATTAGAAGTGGCAGCTTAACTTGTCTTCCAAACACTTACCCCTGTTATTCATCTTAGACTAGAAAACTCTTAGGAATGTTAGGTTATTAGTGAATTGTAATATGGAACCATAAAGAGAGTATATTCTAGAAAGTGAAGAGGTCTGTGTCCAACTCTATACTTTATCTTACAACAGATGTCTCTTAATTCAAACTTTATCATATAAATCCCAACAGAATAATACATGAGACTGTGGTAAACTATGATAAATGATTATAAACTCTGATAAACTGTGCATTCTTTCCACTTTATGCCAGGAATTTAATAACAAAAAAATGATAACACTATTCTGTCCTAGAAATTGAGGAAGAAACAGTTATTCTCACAATAAAGGAGAATTTTATATATGTGTTTGTGTAAATATATTTAAATATATATGTATTTTAAAGAGATCCAGTACTTCCCATATAAACCCAATAGGGAAAACCCCAACAATTACCAATTTGTCATTTTTTTAATTGTCTCATACTTAGAGAATGATTGAAAAAGCATATAAAATTAAACTTAATTGTTCATTAGAATTACACTTCAATTGACCAATGGCTTTAAAATAAACAAAAGTCTTGAATACACCAGAAAGCCCTGCCCATTAAAATTCTATAACATACCTTAGGGAAGAGAATGCTCTCACCTCAAAGTTTCTTTGCAAAAGTAAGAAGTTCTCAGTTGATATGACATGGCACGTTATACAGGAGTGACCTTGCATCTAGCTTTCTGTGTTACTCACATTCACGGGACTTCTCTACAGTAGGAAATTCATAGGTTTGGAACTCTTTGTTCAAATTGGAAACTGGGGTTGGTGCTGTGGCATAGCAGGTAAAGCTGCCGCCTGCAGTGCTGGCATCCCATATGTGTACCGGTTTGAGTCCTGGCTGCTCCATTTCCAACCCAGCTCTCTGCTATGGCCTGAGAAAGCAGTAGAGGATGCACAAGTGCTTGAGCCCCTGCACCCATGTGGGAGGCCCAGAAGAAGCTCCTAGCTCCTGGCTTCAGATTAGCACAGCTCCAGCCATTACAGCCAACTGGAGAGTGAAACAGCAGATGGAAGACCTCTCTCTCTGCCTCTCCTCTCTCTGTATAACTCTGCCTTCCCAATAAATAAATCTTAAAAAAAAAAAAAAAAAAGAAATTGGAAACTCCTCCTTACTCCTCACCTTCAAAGGTTTCTATCCAGTGTGCATCGTCACATGTTTCTGCAAGGACCTGGACAAACAGAAAGCTTTCCCGCATTGCTTACATTCATAAAGTTTCTCCCCACTGTGGGTTCGCTCATGTCTCTGAGAGGAGCTGCGAAGACTGAAGGCCTTCCCACATTCTTTGCATTTATACGGCTTCTCTCCAGTGTGCACCCTCATGTGTCCCTGGAAGCTTGTAGGGTAAATGAAGGCCTTGCCGCATTCCTTACATTCGTAGGGTTTCTCGCCAGTGTGAGTTCTCTCATGTATCTGCACGTAACTGGAACAACTGAAGGATTTCCCGCACCGTTTGCATGTGTAAGGCTTCTCCCCAGTGTGAGTTCTCTCGTGGGTCCTTAGTGCACTGAGATAGCTGAAGGCTTTCCCACACTCCCTGCACTTGTAAGGCCCGTCGCCCGTGTGCGTTATCATATGTCTTCGAAAGTTCTCCACGGAAATGAAGGCTTTCGCACACTGCTTGCATTCATAGGGTTTTTCCCCAGTGTGATTCCTTTCATGGATCTGCAGATCCAGAGGGTAATTGAAGGTTTTCCCACATTTTTTGCATTTGTAGGGTTTCTCGCCGGTGTGAGTCCTTTCATGGATGCGACAGTAACTGAGCCGGCTGAAGGCCTTCCCACATTCTTTACATTTATAGGGTTTCTCTCCCGTGTGCACCCTCAGGTGCACTCGAAAGGCTGGCCGCGCGCGGAAGGCTTTCCCACAGTCCTTACATTTGTAAGGTTTCTCTCCAGTGTGAGTCCTTTCGTGAATCTGGATGGAAGTAGAGCATCTGAAGGCCTTACCACATTGTTTACACGCGTAGGGCTTCTCACCGGTGTGGATTCTCTCGTGTACTCGTAAAAAACTGGGACGAATGAATGCCTTCCCGCATTCCTGGCATTTATACGGCCTGTCTCCATTGTGCGTGATCATGTGTGTTTGCACGCTTGTGCGGGAAATGAAGGCCTTGCCACATTCCTTACACGTGTAGGGTTTCTCACCAGTGTGAGTTCTCTCATGTATCTGAATAGAACTGGGACAACTGAAGGCTTTGCCACACTTCTTACACGCATAGGGCTTTTCTCCCGTGTGAATCCTCTCATGGATTCGGAGAGAACTGGAAGAACTGAGCGATTTACCACAATACTGGCACTCATAGGGCTTCTCCCCTGTGTGAGTCTGTTCGTGTGTTTGAAAAGGTTGGTGATAGATGAAGGTTTTCCCACACTGCTGACATTTATAGGGGTTTTCTCCGGTGTGTGTCCTTTCATGTCTCTGGAAGGATTTGAGATAACTGAAGGCATTCCCACACACCTTACATTTGTAAGGCTTCTCTCCATACTTAGAGCCTGCTAGTTTGTATCCAGCATGAGATCTGATATGCCTAACGAGGGATGAATGAAGCACGTAGTCTTTCCCACACACAGTACATTCATAAGGTTTTACTCCAGTCCTTTTCTCGGTCAGGCTGAGACTTAGAATCTGGCTGAAAGCATCTCCACACTGACTCTCTTTCTTACTTTCACAGTTTCTCTCCACCACACAACTTCTGTTAAAAAAAAAAAAAGTACATTAATAATGGTTATTAAGGATTTTATATTTATTAACAATTATTAGAACTTAATTTGTATCATTTCAGAGAAACTAGCTTTTCTGCCTTGTCTGAACTGTTTGAAAATGAATATATTCAGTGCTGTACAAGAGGGCTCCCTTACAGCTGTTATCAAAATGGTGGTATATGTATTGTGTAAAAATTTGAGAGGCAGAGAAAGAAAGAGACATAGAACTCACATCTACTAGCTCACTTCTCAAATGCCAGCAACATCCAGGACTGGGCCAGCCCAAAGCCAGGAGCTGGGAACTCAATCCAAGCCTCCCATGTGGGTGGCTGGGACCAAGACCCAACACCTCCTGCTTCCCAGGGTGTGCATTAGCAGGAAGTTGGAATCGAGAGCAGACCAGGGCTCACACCCAAGCCCTACAATATGGGATGCCAGTGTCCCAAATAGTGACTTCACTGCTGGGCCAAACACCCACCGACTTACATGTGGTTTCTTAATAATGTTTTCAAGTAAAGTATTTTTCAGACAGTAAATATCTCACTTGAGAAAACTTTTTTTTTTTTTGGTGAAAATTTCTAAGAAATATAAGCCTAAGTTTTCATCCATACTAAGACCATTCTGAGAAACTGCTTTTTTTCTTGTGAACAACTCACCTTAGAGTTCTTGCTTGTTTTTTGTACTGATCTTTAATGTTCTGGTCTTCCCGTTTTTGTTCTAAAATGGAGACCCAGAAAAATCATTATAAAGTAATAGAAATTACAGACAAACAAAGTCTAGGTCCGCAATGAGAGGTGACCTCACCTGGCTTATTTACCAAACTCTACTCCATTTCCACATTCCAAATCTTGAACTAGTTAGGGTGAGCAAGAAAGAGTCTGTTCTGGAACTGACTAGGTGATGGAAAGGTGTCATCCTTACCTACAGAGGCCAAGTTCCTGATGGTTTCCTGCATCACATCTCTGTAGAGTTTCTTTTGTGAAGGATTCAATAGAGCCCACTCCTCCCGGCTGAAGTTCACAGACACATCCTCAAAGACGACTGAATCCTAAAACGTCCCACATATGTATCAGTAAAGAATTAGTGAGAATTAGCACTGCGGAATCTAGATATACTCAATTCACAAAAAGTTCACATGCAATTCTGTGTTCTCTTAACATTCATTGTATGACTTGGTTGTCACACCTTCAACTGTCCACCCTCACGTTTAGTGGCACCTTGAACACATAGACCTGTCTACACTTTCACTGTGGTCACTGCAAGTCTTACTGCTCTCTAAAGGCAGTATCCAGCTCAGCTTAGAGAAATCTTATACAAAGGAAACAAACGTGAAGATCATCCATTCTTGGAACTAACAAGGTGTAATGAAGCTGAAGACTGTACTGCTAGCCTACAAAAGTCAACTGTGTTCTAATGCAGGGGTGGGAAACCTTTCCTTTTTTTTTTTTTTTTTTAATTTCTTGACAGGCAGAGTGGACAGTGAGAGAGAGACAGAGCGAAAGGTCTTCCTTTTGCCGTTGGTTCACCCTCCAATGGCCACTGCAGCTGGCGCGCTGTGGCCAGCGCACCGCGCCGATCTGAAGCAAGGAGCCAGGTGCTTCTCCTAGTCTCCTGGGAAACCTTTATTTCTGCCAAGCGCCATTTGGAATTTATAACATCATTTGCAGGCTATTATAAAATTGTCGATTTAAAATTAGCCCACCACAGATGTACTGAATTTGGAGTCCCACTTGGTGGCTGCCTTGGCCAGGCCAGAGTAAATGATTTCACAGGCATTATAAGGCCCATGGGCCATTCCCCAGCCCTGCTATGCAGCATATAAACACTGTCAACTGATTTCTTTCTTTTTTATTTGAGAGCTTGAATTTGCCAAATGCAATTACCTCAAATGCCTGCAGTGGTCCCAGGTCTGGTACAAAGCTAGGAACCTAATACATGTATCCCATGTAGGTGGCAAGAAACCAATCACTTGAGCCACCACTGCTGCCCCAGGGTCTGCTTCAGCAGGTAACTGGAGCCAGGCATTGAACCCAGGCACCCCTGTATAGGATGTGGGTTTCTAAACTTCCAGACCAAACATCTGCCCCTAGTCAGCTTTTTTCTGATAGAAGATCAGAGGCTATTTCAACAACCATATAGGGGGAAGAAAAAAAAGACACAGAGCTTACACTTTTCACACAACAGTTAATCCAAAAGGGATAAGATAAGGATATCTCAAAAAGTTTGTGCAAAATACAGCTAAAAAATAAGTTTATTTTGGTACAAAAAATTTTTGAAATCTATGGAAATTTGTTAATACAAATAAAATTTTATTAAGACAAAATTTGCATCAGGCTAAACTTATCTTTTAATTCAACTTTATGGAAATGAGAAAACCATGAAACAGTATAACTGATCTTTGGATGTCAAGATACTGTTGGTGGAATCATGGATGAATGGACAAGTGGAATTTAAAAGTTGTTTTTTTTGTTTTGTTTTGTTTTTTAGATTATATTACTTAAAAGGCAGAATTATAGAGAGGGAGAGGAGAGACACAGAGAGAGAGAGATCTTCCATCCACTGGTTCACTCCCCAAATGACCACAACAGTCAGGGCTGTTTCATTAAATTGATTTGAGCTTATTTCTGTAAGCCATTATGGGGCTCTGTGAGTCTGAGACCAGTAAAGTAGTAAAGTGAGAACATCCCACAGAATTTCATACTCAGAGGCCTAGAAGTGAACTGAGTACCTTTATTATTATCAGTACTGTCTGGATGGCGAATTTCCTGGTGAAGCCTTTTATGGTGGACTTGGTGTATGTACGGTTGTGTCACCTTGATTTATATTTTGGCACCACACATGAGGAAAGAGGATCCCTGGGTTCTTTCTTCACAAAGAGGCAGTTGTTACTTATCCAAGAATGTATAAAATATGCAAATAGAGCCAACTGTCAGCCAGTTCTGGGATGACCGCCGGATGTTTGGTTCGTTGTGATCTTGGATCTCATGTATCAGACGCATCACAATTAGGGGAAGAAACACAGTAACTGTCCACAGGCCTCCATCATACACAAATGAGGCAACATTGTCCAGAAAGTCTGCAGGCTGTCATTGTTGTGCACTCAGTCCAAAGCAGCTCCACATGAGGGACGTTACCCCAGGCACCATGTTATCTGGTACATGACTGAGGGAAGAGGCGGCTGCCCCGTTTGCTCCATCATATAGAAAGGAAGTTTCGGGAATCACGCTGTGCATATGGGAGGCGCCGTTTCCAGGACCCAGAGCTGAATGGCCATCTGCTCTGGGCCTGTGAGAGCCTCTTATTTGCAGGACAACCCAGTACATGGCACCTCTCATGTTACAGAATGTGAGTTCAAGAAGGGAAGTTGGTTGCATTAGGAACATACAGACAATGGGCAGTGTCTGCAAGAGTGTTTTCAGGAGGTGTGAGAAGAGGTTGCTGAGGCCTCTGGTGTGAACGAGACCCTGAAGGAACTGAAGGGAGTGCCTGTTGTGCTAAGGGTACCCATGCAAAGAAGGGCATACGCAAATCACAGCCAGAAATGGGCTTACATACAATTTATAAAGGAGGACAGTGTTGTCTCCCTAACATCAAAAGCGCCTGCACGAGGTAGTGGGTTCTGAGAGGGCTATAACTGTCCCACAAGCGTTACACAGTGAGCCAGCAGTTTGAGGAGCCAACTAGCGAGTCGCCTAATTTTCAGGAACTTAACCAAAATGTCAAGGCCTCACACATCACATGTATCTAGCAATGGCCCAGCCTTTTTTTTAGGGGTAGTGGTGCTGGGGAGTGGATAAGTGCCTTTTTTTCAGTATTTGCCTCAATGAATGTCACATGCCCTCCAAAGTAGAAGCCATTAACGTGATGCTGTACCTCTGCTCTTGGAGAAAGGTGGCTGCCGTTGTGGTCTTGCCTTTACAAAGAGTGTGTGTGTTGAGAGGATGCTGAGAGTCTGAGAGAGCCATCAAGTAAACGTTCAACAGATTTCCTCAAAGGTGAGGGCAAACTGCAGCCAAGAGGCTGTGAAATAGACACCGAACAGCCTTCTACAAACCTGTGACAGCAGATTTACAAGTTGCTAACCGGGTGGTGTCCGTAATTTCCATAAAGTTGTGTATGGGTCTAGGGGGATAAGGGGTGGGATTCACAGCACTGCAGTGATCCACTGTGAGGTGTCACTCATTCCTTCCAGGTTTAAAAACAGCCCAAATTACAATTTTAAAAGAACCTAGGGTTAATCACCCCTTCCAATATAAGTTTTATATAATGAACGTTAATCCTTCAAGGTCTCGTTCAATTGAGCCATATTAACCAATTTAGATGGTGTGTAACACACAAGTGGCCCCATTTTGTCAAGCCTGCTTATGAGCACTAAAAACTGGTTTAAAATTTATGATTCGGGGCAGACATTTTGATACAATGAGTTAAGCTGCTGTTTGGGATGCCTGCAACCCATATCAGAGCTCCGGTTCAAGTCCAGGCTCCTCTGCCTCTGACCCTGCTCTCTGCTAATGCACCCCGGAAAGCAACAGATGAAGGCCCAAGTGCTTGGGTTCCTGCCAGTCATGTGGGAGACCAAGATGCCGTGGTTGGCTCCTGGCTGTGGCCTGGCTCAGCCCTGGCTGTTGTGGGCATTTGGGGGAGTAAACCAGTAGATGGAAGATACCTCCCTCTCTCTCTCTCTCTGCCTTTCAAATAAATAAATCTTTCAGAAATTTATGATTCATTGGTTTAGAGCTTCCATGCTCACAAGGAGATTATTTAATACAATGGGTGGTTTGACCACGGAGAATTTAGGCAGGGTGATTTCACATTTAGTAACACCACCAACACCACTAGGGATGCCTTGCTTAAATGTAGTGGGATCCCAAGTTATAAGTATGGTAATAACCATGTAGTTTGGCCAATTGTATTGATTAATCGCATAAAGGTTAGTTAATTAGTATATTATCAAAAATGTTAAAATTAATTACAAGCCTATCTTGTAAAGGCCTCAAACCCATACAGTGAGTACCCTTTAGCAGCTTTGTTGTGTAGCTTCCATCAGCACATTTTGGATTTCCAGTTGGGTCAAACTGTGGACTTTTCATTCACTATTTTCAAATGTGTTCCCTTCTCCCTTTGTTTCTGTTTCTGTTTTGTTACAGGATGAACTTCTGGGTAGAGGGTGGCCTTTCTACTTAGTATACTCTAAATCTGTTGTCATCAAGGTTAGGGCCCTCCCCATGGCAACGGTTGGGGAATGTCCGGCCCACAGGCCATATAAGGCCCATGACATCATTTGGTATGGCCCTGCCAAGGCAACCACAGGCAGGATTCAAAATTCAGTAAATCTGAAATGTGATCCCTGTTAAACATAAGAGTGGGAATAAGAGAGGGAAGAGATGTATAATTTGGGACATGCTCAAGCTGACTTGCCCCAAATGGTAGAGTTAAAAACATACCAGGGGATTCCAATTCAATCCCATCAAGGTGGCATATACCAATGCCATCTCACTATTCCAAGTGATCAATTTCAGTTCACAATTGATCATAATGAAAGGACTAAGAGTCAAAGGGAGCACATAAACAAGTCTAGTACCTGCTAACACTAACCGATGGAATAAATAAAGGGGAGAGTGATCCAACATGGGAAGTGAGATACTCAGCAGACTCATAGAATGGCAGATGTCCTAAATAGCACTCTGGCCTCAGAATCAGCCCTAAAGCCATTCGGATCTGGCTGAAAAGCCCATGAGAGTATTTCAGGCATGGAAAGCCAAGACACTCTGGCAAAAGATCTCTGTGAGTGAGATCCCAGTGGAAAGAACAGGTCTTCAAAGAAGGAGGTACCTTTCTCTGAAGGGAGGAGAGAACCTCCACTTTGACTATGACCTTGTCTAAACAATATAAGAGTCGGAGAACTCAGAGGGCTTCCATAGCCTTGGAAACTCATGACTGGAGCAAAGGGAGACTACTGATGCCATAGACAGGAGTGTCAATTGGTAAAGTCAACAACAGGAGTCACTGTGCACTTACTCCTCATGTAGGATCTCTGTCCTTAATGTGCTGTGTATTGAGATTTAATGCTATAACGAGTACTCAAACAATATATTTCACTTTGTGTTTCTATGGGGGTGCAAACTATTGAAATCTTTACTTAATGTATACTAAACTGATCCTCTATAATAAAAAAAAGAAAAGAAAAGAAATTATCAACTCCCAACTTCACTCTCACTGGGATTAAACATGACAATAGGTCTGATCTGATTTCATCATCATTTAAAAAAATCATCTATTATTTTTCACTTTATGTTTCTGTGTGAGAGCAAACTGTTGAAATCCTTACTTAATGTATACTAAGCTGATCTTCTGTATATTAAGATAATCGAAAATGAATCTTGATGTGAATGGAAGGGGAGAGGGAGCGGGAAAGGGGAGGGTAGTGGGTGGGAGGGACAGTATGTGGAGGAAACCATTGTAATCCATAAATCGTACTTTGGAAATTTATGTTCATTAAATAAAAGTTAAAAAAAAATTTCAGTAAATCTATAGCAAGCTGATTTTTAAGTTGATAATTTTGTATGGCCTGCAAATGATGTTATAAATGCCCAAATGGCCCTTGACAAGAAAAGATTCTCCATCCCTGCCTGATAGGACTTAAGAACCCCATGCTTAAATTAGGTTCAATCTAACCTTTGCTGAGCCACAGGGTTGCATAGGTGTTGTCACCACTAACAAAGACAGTTTGTTATCACAGAGACAAACTTAGTGGCAAGTGCAGAGGTAGTATTCTTAGCTTGCCACCTAATGGCTGTCTTGCCCCTTCCCTAATAGGTCCATCTCTTATATAGGGAATAGTCCCACCCCCATCCTGTATATTAGGGCCAATCCAACATCACTTTAAAAACAAGACCTCCACCCAGGTCCACTTTAAGGAGGGCTCCCATCCTGTATTCCTTCTCCCAAATGCCAAAAAATTAATGGAATCTAGAACTCTGGCTTGGTAGGGCCCCACAGTGCAACACAGAGCCACGCAGCTCACAGCACGAATTCTCCAGCATACAGTAGGTCCAGGGCATACTAGCCATCATACAACAGAGGGGGTTAGCAAGTCAGAGCAAGAAATGGACCCAGGGGGACACAGTCACTGGCTACACATCCTTATCATCATAGTGCCAACTGTCAGGACCACCTGTACAGGTGTATCTCTGGTGTGATAACACACACTGAAAGGGTATGGAGGCCAGCGCCACAGCTCAATAGGCTAATCCTCCGCCTTGCGGCACCAGCACACCAGGTTCTAGTCCCAGTTGGGGCGCCGGATTCTGTCCCGGTTGCCCCTCTTCCAGGCCAGCTCTCTGCTGTGGCCTGGGAGTGCAGTGGAGGATGGCCCAAGTGCTTGGGCCCTGCACCCCATGGGAGACCAGGAGAAGCACCTGGCTCCTGCCATCGGATCAACGCGCTGCAGCCGGCCGTGGCAGCCATTGGAGGGTGAACCAATGGCAAAGGAATACCTTTCGCTCTGTCTCTCTCTCTCACTGTCCACTCTGCCTGTCAAAAAAAAAAAAAAAAAAGAGAGAGAGAGAGAGAGAGAGGGTATGGAAAGGCTTACTGTCCACATGATGAGGTCTCAGGGAGAGGGGGTCAGATTTCTTGGGCAGGGGCAAAATAGCTTCAGGTAGCACGGAAGAGAGTTGGACCTGGATTTTTATTGTGATTGAACCTGGGCTTAGAGGATAGTGCCCCCTTCATCAGCAGGGCCATCTTCATTATGGCCCAGAGGGAAGCCCCAGGCTTTCTCAGCTTGTCCACCTGGGCAGCACAAGGGGGAAAGGAACAGGGTTGAAGCTGTTAGCAAGCATCAAATCTGACAAGCACCAAGTCTGACTGTTCACTTGATAAGAGCAAATGGGTAACAAAGCTACACATTTGCAACAGCTTCATTTTCTATAAAGAAACTAAAAGGATGCACAAGAAAGTATCAAAACTAGTTATGAGGGTTTGGCTGGAGCAAGAGCCCTGGAGTGGGCCAAGATACTGCTGCCTGGGAGTCTTTTTGAATTAGACTTTTCTGTGTTATGGATTTGGTTTGGTTTTAAAGAGAGGTATATTTATTACTTTTCTAAAATGTATATTTACTTGAGAGGCAGAAAAGGGTAGACAGAGAGTACTCCCATCTGCTTGTTCACTCTTCAGATGCCCACAATGGCTGAAGCTGGGCCCAGCTGAAGTTGGAACCTGAAACTCAAGCCAAGTCTCCAACATGGGTGGCAGAGACTCAGTTTCCTGGGCCATCACCACTGCCTCCCAGGGTCTGCATTAGCAGGAAGCTGGAATACAGAGTGGAGCTGGGACTTGAACTGGCATCTTAACTGCCAAACGCCTACCTCAGTTTTATTTAAAATGGAGAAATTTATACAAAACCATATTTTACCTTCTAAGTCTGTAACTTTAGTTGATGCACTTTCCTTTAAAATTTTTAATTAACATTTTACTTTCAGTCTTTCTAAATGGAAATAATTTTATGACCCTTTAAACACTAAGGGTTATAGACTCATAAAACCATTTTATAAATTTTGCAAAACTGTAAGACAAAATGTAAATTCTCAGGGCTGGCGCCGCGGCTCACTAGGCTAATCCTCCGCCTTGTGGCACCAGCACACCGGGTTCTAGTCCCAGTCGGGGCACCGGATTCTGTCCCGGTTGCCCCTCTTCCAGGCCAGCTCTCACTGTGGCCAGGGAGTGCAGTGGAGGATGGCCCAAGTGCTTGGGCCCTGCACCCCATGGGAGACCAGGAGAAGCACCTGGCTCCTGCTATCGGATCAGCGCGGTGCACCAGCCACAGTGCGCCAGCCGTGGCAGCCATTGGAGGGTGAACCAACAGCAAAGGAAGACCTTTCTCTCTGTACCTCTCTCTCACTATCCACTCTGCCTGTCAAAAAAAAAAAAAAAAAAGTCAATTCTCAAGTCATTTATGTAAAAATGACAAGTTGCATCATACTTTCCTCTATCTCTCCCACTGAAGGGTATTTTAAGATGAATTTTTATAAGTATGAATGTTTTGGCCGGCGCCGCGGCTCACTAGGCTAATCCTCCGCCTAGCGGCGCCGGCACACCGGGTTCTAGTCCTGGTCAGGGCGCCGGATTCTGTCCTGGTTGCCCCTCTTCCAGGCCAGCCCTCTGCTGTGGCCAGGGAGTGCAGTGGAGGATGGCCCAAGTGCTTGGGCCCTGCACCCCATGGGAGACCAGGATAAGCACCTGGCTCCTGGCTCCTGCCATCGGATCAGCGCGGTGCGCCGGCCGCAGCGCGCCGGCCGCGGCGGCCATTGGAGGGTGAACCAACAGCAAAAGGAAGACCTTTCTCTCTGTCTCTCTCTCTCACTGTCCACTCTGCCTGTCAAAAAAAAAAAAAAAAGTATGAATGTTTTGGGCCTAATCCCTTAATATAGTGGGATTTTCAAAGACTACATAAACATGGAGTAGTTTTCCTGGTTCCTTTCAATTAAAATAAGAATTCAATAGCGTTTGCTCTTATCAATTAAACAACAGGGGAGCAGGCATCTAACATAGCAGTTAAGATGTCCACCCTCCCATACTGGAATACCTGGGTTTGGCTCCTAACTGTAGCTTCCTGCCAGTGCACGCCCTGGGAGGTCTGGGTACCTGTCACATGCATTCCTGGCTCGCAGTTTCAGCCTCGCCCAGCCTTGGCCAACATGGGCATGTTGGGGAGTGAACTAGAGGATGGGAATTCCTGTCTGTCCTTCTCTGCTTCTGAAATTAAAAAAGAAAAAAATTGAAATTCATTTGTATTAGGAATAATAAAGCCTTTCCAATTCACACGTTTCAGAGGTATGTACACACAAAAACTGATCTAAAAATGACAAATTTACCCATGAACTTTAATACAGCCATATCTTAGGTCCTCTCACCTAAAAGAAACCAGAGTTTCTAATGGGTTCCAGAATTTTGTCTTAGTCCCAATCATATCTTAATCACAGTACATTTTCAAAGCCCCTCCCCCAAATTAAAAATCTTACAGACTCTAACAGGGAATAAAATTACAATGTGCTACAGCAAATTAGAGTGAAGAGTCACAATATTCAACAGATGAAGGAATCCCTAAGAAATAAATCCAAATACGTGAATCAGCATACGTGAGCAGTGTTCTCAACGTGCGCAGTTTACATTCTGGGTGCACCTGCACTACTGATGCCAAACTCTAAGGTAATGGCTGCAAACAGGGCCTCACGCCTTCTCCTAACTCTGTTTGTACATGGATCCCCAGGTCTCAGCAGCTTCACTTAGCACCTAAGGCCCCTCCCAAAGTGGGTGTGAGCAGGCGGAAGCAGCTGCAACAAGATACAAGTGGTCCCTTTGCAGTCTCTCATCTTAACCCAGAGCCACTGGCCTCAAGCATCTCCTCTCCACATCAGTGGCTCTTCACACACAGTGAAGAATCCAACAGAATCACTGAATCCCACGTTTATGCGTCAAAGAAGAAAGAAATTGCAAGCCATTTTCGTTAATAAGAAAACCCGCGAGTCTCTATGCTTTCGGAAAGTGAAGATGCTGCAGCCAAGGCTGTGCACCCCCCACTCCGCATCCCATATCAGAGTGCCTGATTAGTCCTGGTTACTCTACTTCCAGTCCAGCTCCCTGCTAACCCACATCCTGTGAGGCAACAGATCACGTTCAAGTACTTGAGTCACTGCCACCCAGATGAGAAACCTGGTTGGAGTTGCAGGCTCCTGGCATTAACCTGGCCCAGCCCTGGGTGTTGCAGACATTTGGGGAATGAACTAGTGGATGGAAGATATCACTCTACCTTGCAAATAAATAAACATTAAAAAAAAAAAAAAAAAAAAGGAGGGTCTGGCGCCGTGGTGCAGCAGGTCAAAGCCCTGGCCTGCAATACCGGCATTCCATATGGGCACCGGTTCAAGACCCGCTGCTCCACTTCTGATCCAGTTCCCTGCTGATGCACCTGGGAAAGCAGCGGAGGTTGGTCCAAGTGCTTGGGCCTCTGCCACCCACGTGGGAGACTCTCTGTGTAACTCTGACTTTCAAATAAATAAATAAATCTTAAAAAAGAAGAAGCGAGTAAGGCTTTGTAAGGCCACACACCTCGGGAGGGGCACTGCTGACCGCAAGCTGTGGTTTGCAAAAACAACAAAACAACACCTCAATGCAGAGGAGCCCAGCGTGTCTGTACCCAAGTAAGATAATGCAAAGACAGCGACACGGACTGCATGCAGCCGAGTTCCCAGCGGTCATTCTCCGCTTTTCTGTTAACGACGGATTTCCACAAACAAGAACTGAGACTCTCAACAAGAGCCAGCCATGCTCGCTCTGTGAGAAAAACGGTCATCCAAACAGCGCGCGGATTTGAAACGCACGGCGCAGGACAAACCGTGGGCAACGGTGTTGTGGACCGGAGAGGGGACGCCGGCCTTCAGAGGGATCTGGAAATTTAGAGTCTGCCGGAGCTCGAAGGAGCTGCGTGCTTCGGGACCAGGGTCATGGCTCTCACACGGCAGGCAGGGAAGGAGAGCCCGGGGGCCCCACGGCTCCTCCCGCACCCCGAGACCCGCTGTCAGCGCACGAGCCGCGGAGACGCTGGGCGGCGGGCGCTGCGGGCCGGGGCCGCACAGGGCGCCCGCGACCCCGGCGGCCCCACGGCCCCATCCGTCCGCTTCTCCGGCGTCTCCGGACCCTCGACCCCGCACGCACTCACCATCTCCCGGCCTCCGGGGCGCCCCGATCGCCCCACTCCGGCGCCCGCGGGTTACCCACAAACTGCCCCAGGCTACCCAGCGAAGAGACGCGGAGACTGCGGCGGACGTGTCCAGTGACGTAAGCACGCCGGTACGTAGCCTGGCCGCACCCACCTTCCTGGGAGGCCCCGCCCACTTTGGCCTGAGTGACAGCCGGGAGAATCCGCCTCGCGTGAGCGGAACCGGCTTCTGCTTTCCCGCCGCGCTCGTCCCCTTCCGTGGGCGTTTGCATTGGAGCAGACGCCTTCCCTCAGCTGCCTCTGAAGGCGCGGACGCCAGGGGAGGCGCGAGGGGTCCAGGCTTGGCTTGCAGATGGCGCAGCCCCCTAGGGAGCTACTCTTGAACAAGTCCAGCGCCACCGGGCCACCGAGGCAAGGCCACGTTGGAACTGGAGGCTCCGGTGTCCAGGCGTCCAGGGCTTGGCCTGATGCTGAGCCGCCACTCAGGGAGTCGTGACACTTGTGTCAAACGGGGCCACTTCTGGCTGAGCCCGTCATACCTAAGAGCCTGGCCCCCTTTATGGCACCCGTATGTGTTTCCTCCACCCTACACATCTGGGGTCAGGAATCCCTAGCGCTAGTGGGAAATCAGCCCCCACAACCCTCGCCTGGGCAAAGGGGTCCATCTCAGACCAACCACAAGCTGCGAGTTGTGTTCCGTCTGGCACATGTTACACTGAGGGACATTTCTTTCCACAGTGTGTCACTACAGAATTTTGAAATGTTGACAGGAACGGGCGTTTGGTGCAGTGGTGAGGACACCGTTCAGGGTACACCAGCTCTCACAACGTGCGGCGGAACCCCAAGTTCTCTGCTTCTGATCCAGCCCACTCGGGTCCATACTGCTCACGTAGGAGATCCAGCTGCCGCAGGCATTTGCAGGATGAATGAGTGGGTTGAAGATCTGTCTCTCTGCCTTTCAAATAAAAATAGAAATATTTCTTTAAATGAAATGTAAGTAGCTATAATATTCTTAAGGCAATTGAATTAGATTTGCACTAAAATAAGTGGCAAAGACTGTTTGCCTTGTGGGACTTTAGTTAGAACCCCCTGAACCCTCTACCCAACAAGACCCATCCCTGCACTTTATAGAATCCACTTTGAGCAAGAATCCTGTTGTCAGTTTAGGAAGAATCCCCCCACCTTCTGTCTCTCCATCCCCACTCTCCCCAGATGATCTCTAATCACATGGCCTGCTTTCAATCAGAATCCTGCCAAACTTGATGTCTCCTCTTACTAATTTTCCATCCATCAACACCTGATCCTTGCCACCTCCTCCTTGGCTATCAAAACCCCACTTCTCGTTGTATTTTGGGTTGAGACTAGTTCTATACTGAATTCTCTTTCTCTACTGCAATCGTTTCTTGAATAAAATCTATCTTCACCACTGTAACTTCTCTTTAGCTCTTTTAATGTAACAAGAACAACACAAGCATGTGTAAGTACCCCTCAACTTTTTATATTCTTAGGGGATTGGTTCAGAACTCCTAATATATTCTGTATTTATTTGAACAGTTATGTTGTATGATAAAATTCACATAATCCCTTTAGAATATACAATTCAAGGGCAGGCATTGTGGTGTGGTGAGTTAAGCCACTGCTTGGGGGGCCCGCATTCCACCCAGGAGTGCTGGTTCAAGTCCTGGCTGTTTTGCTGCCCACTGAGCTTCCTGCCAGTGTACCTGGGAAGCAGCAGTAATGGCTCAAGTGCTTAAGTTCCTGCCAGGCTTATGGGAGACCTGGATAGAGTTCCTGGGGCCTGGCTTCAGGCTGGCCCAGCTCCAGTGTTGTAGCCATTTTGAAAGTGAGCCAGCAGATGGAAGATCTCTTTTCATCTTAGCTCTCTCTGTTGCTCTTTCAAATAAATAAGTAAATATTTTTTAAAAGTGCATAGAAAATAGAATTGAAATACAAGTTTTTTTTAAGTGTACAATTCAGGTGTTTCCAGTATATTCACAGATATGTACAAACATCAGCACAGGCAATTTCACCCAAAAAATGAAACCCCTGATAAATAAATTTTTTAAAAAAAGGTGAAACCCCTGTACTCTGCAGCCATCACGTCTCTTCACATATTCCTTTAATCCCCAGCTCCAAGAAATCAAAGATTTATCTTTTGTTTCCATAGATTTCCCTTTTCTCAACTTTCACATGAATGGAACTACATAATATGAGGCCTTTGTGACTGGCTTTGCTCACTTAGCATAACTGTCGAAGGAAACAACCATGTGTACCATGTAGCAGCACTTCATGCTCTCTCTCTCTCTCTCTCTCTTTAGCTGAACAATTCTATTATGTGCACATAGCATACCCATTTTGTTTATCCATCAACTCATCCATTAATGATCGAGTTCCTGGCTTCTGGCTTCTGGCTTCAGCCTGGCCCAACCCTGCCTATTGTGGGCATTTGGGGAGTGAACCAGTGAATAGGAGATTCATTCTCTCTCTCTCTCTCTCTCTCTCTCTCCTTTTGAAATAATTTTAAAAATAAAACAAAAACAACAGTTATGAAACTGCAAGCGGCCTGCACCACGGCTCACTAGGCTAATCCTCCCCCTGCGGCGCCGGCACACAGGGTTCTAGTCCCGGTCGGGGCGCCGGACTCTGTCCCGGTTGGGGCGCCGGACTCTGTCCCGGTTGCCCCTCTTCCAGTCCAGCTCTCTGCTATGGCCTGGGAGTGCAGTGGAGGATGGCCCAGGTCCTTGGGCCCTGCACCCACATGGGAGACCAGGAGAAAGCACCTGGCTCCTGCCTTGGGATCAGCGCAATGCGCCAGCCGCAGCAGCCATTGGAGGGTGAACCAATGGCAAAAGGAAGACCTTTCTCTCTGTCTCTCTCTCTCTCACTGTCCACTCTGCCTGTCAAAAAATAAAAAATAAATAAAAAATAAAAAATAAAAAAAGAAACTGCAAGCAGCCCACTCTAGTCTTTATTTTTAATTAACTCACTTTTATTTTTTTAAGATTTATTTATTTATTTTTGAAAGGCAGAGTTAAAGAGAGGCAGAGGCTATAGCAGAGAGCTGGATAGGAAGAGGAGCAGCCAGGACTAGAACCAGCACCCATATGGGATGCCAGCACTGCAGGTGGTGGCTTTACCTGCTACGCCACAGTGCCAGCTTGCTTTTATTTTCAAATTTAGCTTTTCTACACAGGAAACCATTCTCAGATTTAGTCTTAAACACTAACAGTTGGGTGGTGGACATTTAGCCTAGTGTTAAGGTGCCACTTGGGATAACTGCATCCCATATTGGGGAAGCCTGGGTTCAAGTCTAAGCTCTTTCTCTTGAACATAGCTTCCTGTTAATGCAAACTGGGAGGCAGCAGGTGATGGCTTAAGTCACTAGGTCCCTGTCACCACTGGGGAGACTTGTATTGAATTCATGGTTCCTGGCTTCAGCCGGATGAAAGATCTCTCTCTCTCTCTCTCTCCCTCTGTGTGTGTGTGTGTGTGTGTGTGTGTGTGTATCTTTCAAACAAATTTAAAAATTAAAAAATAGGGGCCGGCACTGTGGCGTAGCTGGTAAAGCTGCTGCCTGCAATCCGGCATCCCGTATGGGCACCAGATTGAGACCCAGCTGCTCCACTTCCTATCCAGCTCTCTGCTATGTCCTGGGAAATCAGTGGAAGATGGCCCAAGTCCTTGGGCCCTTGCAGCCACATGAGAGACCTGGAAGAAGCTCCTGGCTCCTGGCTTCAGATCGGCACAGCTCCGGCCATTGCAGCCAATTGGGGAGTGAACCAGTGGATGGAAGACCCCTCTCTCTCTCTGCCTCTTCTTTCTCTGTGTAACTCTGGCTTTCAATTAAATAAATAAAACTCTTAAAAAAATGAAGACTACTAAAAGCAAATGTGTTTACATAAATTTCTCTTATTTTAAAGAAATAATGTATGTGAAAGTTTAAAATGGGGTTGGCATTGTGATGTAATGAGTTAAACTGCCATTTGCAATGCCAACATTCCCACATTCAGGTGCCACGTCAAGTCCTAGTCACTCGGTTTCCAATCTGACTTCCTGCTAATGCAGTAGGAAGGCAGTAGATGACGGCCCAAATGCTTGGTGCCTGCCACTCATTTGGGAGAGCTGGATAGAATTCCTAGCTCCTGGCTTCAGCCTGGCCCAGGCTTAACTGTTACTGCCTTTTGTGGAGTGAACAAGAGGATGGAAATCAATCTCTCTATATCTCTACCTCCAAATCTTGCTCCATCTCTATCTCTCCATCTCCATCTCTGTCTCTATCTATCTCCATCTCTATCTCCATCTCTACCTCTATCTATCTCCATCTCTATATCTCCATCTCTATATCTCTATCTCTGTCTCTATCTC